TGAATTTGCAAAAGAAAAAATGAAAAAATCACCAACTGATACTTACGTAGATATTGAATTATTTCGAAATGATTTAAAAGATATCGATCCGGAGTTTATTGGAAGCATGGTTTCTATTTATAAAATATCACACCTAGATAAACAAATTAGTTATCTATGTATGACCAATGTTGCAACTTATGGTTATGGTGAAGAAATATGCAAATGGCTATCATTAAAACATGATCCAAAACGACCACAGCAAATTGACATTTTGAATGGTAAAAAAATTATTCAAATTGATTCAGGTGAAAAATTTATTGTCGTTCTAACTGATGATGGACTAGTTTATTTAGCCAATGGTGATTCATTATGGCCAAAGAACAATGCTTTTCGATTGATCTCGACCTGTGATGATGATGATCGTTTTGAAATGATAGCATGTGGATGGGATCATTTGTTATTGTTGCGACTAGATGGTACTGTTTTTGCTTTGGGTGATAATTATTACGGTCAATTGGCCAATATTTCACAGTCATCGTATGATACTGTCGTGAACACTGGTTTAAAAAATGTTAAAATAATTGCTTGTGGAGCGTACCATAGTCTTGCTCTTACCAATACGAATCAAATTTATTCCTGGGGCTGTAATGCGAATGGACAGTTAGGTCTAGATGATATATTTAACCGAAGCACACCTTCAATGGTAACATTTTCTGATAGTCCAATCAAAAATATTGCGGCTGGCATGTATTATTCTTTATTTTTATTCGAGGATGGTCAGATTTTCCGATGTGGTTATGATGAAAGTTATATTGATGATGATGATCAAAATTTAATGGTGCCGACAAAATTACCGATTGAAAATGTGCTAAGTGTGGCTTGTAAGAATGATCTCTCTTTTTCATTTTTTTTGGATCAATCATCCCATTATTATGTAATGGATGATTTAGATGATGAAAATGAAGATGAAGAATTGGTCTCGCTCAAAAAATTGGATGGTCCACCGAAATCATTTGTTGAAGCATCAATGCCTTTCGAATCATCAATTACTTTTGGCCTTACACCAATCATCCCTGTATTCGAATCGAATGATCCAATATCATTTATTGAATTATTGGATAATCCTGATAATTATGATGTTGAATTTATTATCGGCGACAAACGTATATTGGCTTCAAAATGTCACTTAAGAATGTCATCAAAATATTATAATCGAATGTTTTCGGGTGATTGGCAAGAAAATAAACAAGTGATCATCAATTCATATAGTTATGATGTATATTATTCATATCTACGTAAATTACATAATGGTTATATTCAAATTAATCGATATAATATTATTGAACTTATTGATTTGGCCAATTGTTATGGTGATGAACAATTATTCAAACATTGTAAAACATTCATACTAACAGATTTGAATGAATGGAGTTTATTTACTTATCTTCCACTAATTACCAAATATGAAATTAATGAAACGTATGGTAAACTTTTCGGGTTAACTATCAATAATATTTTACCAAAAATAAATAACTATCTTTCAAAAAATCAAGAAAAAATTACAAAATTTCTTGAATGGTTTTCTGAACAAAGAACAATTCTTAAAAACGAATTTGAAATTGAATTTGATTAAAATTTTAATGTTTAATAATCATCAATATATAATCAACCGATATATGTAATAACCTTTAGTGTTTGATCAATGTCATCAAAAAAATAAAATATTTTGTAATCTTTTTAAATAAAATAAAATTTTTTCAACAAAAAAAAACCCCTGTTACCATTTTCAATCATCTTTGTGGATTTATAATCATCATCATATGATTAAATAAATGTTGATAAATTCCAAATTTGGCTATTCAAAAAAAACAATCGATCAAAAGTGTAACCAATGAAAAAAAATTTGGTAAAAATGTACAAATGGAATAGTTGTGCGGGTGTATGTGTAACTGTATAATCAATCAATCAATCAATTATGATAAGCATCGATCGTTACATATGACTATAGTTCCTTGTTGATGACAATATCGTTCCAATCTATAGTTTTGGCTTGTTTTCTGTTGTGAGTGTGTTGCACATATACTTTCATTTGTTATAATTGTCAGCTCACTGTGTGTGTAATTTTGTGATTTGTAAAATCAACATTTAATTAATGCATTTGTTTTGTATCGAAAACATTGATTTACATTGAAATAATTATTATTCGTTGAATATATTGTGATTGTCAACATATGGTTTTTATCAAGAAAAAAGTAAAACAACAATGAAAAAATTACCAAATGATAATTGTGTTGATATTGAATTATTTCAAAATGATTTCAGAAATATTGATCAAAAATTTATTGATAATATTATTTCATTATATAAAATAATTGATTTGAAAAAAAGAATAAATTATTTATTTATAACAAAAGATTCTACATATGCTTATGGTAATGAAATATGTCGATGGTTATCATTGCCAATATACGATTCAAAACAACCACAACGAATCGATATTTTAAATGATAGAAAAATTATACAAATTGATTCGGGTTTTATGTTTGTTGTTATTTTAACTGATGATGGTCTTGTTTATCTAGCAAGTGGTGATTCAAAATGGAAAACAAACAATACATTACGATTAATTTCAAATGGTAATGATCGTTATGAAATGATAGCATGTGGACAATATTTTCTTTTACTATTACGACAAGATGGTATTGTTTTTGCAATGGGTAATAATAAAAGTGGACAATTAACTGGTAATTTTCAAACATCATATGATATACTTATTAATACTGGTTTGAATGATATTAAAATAATAGCATGTGGTGGTGAACATAGTTTGGCGCTTACAAATACAAATCAAATTTATTCATGGGGTTGTAATAAATATGGACAATTAGGTTTAGGTGATCAAAATAATCGAACAAAACCAACATTGATTTCATTTTCAAATGATTTAATCGAAAATTTGGTTGCCGGTGTATGGCATACATTAATTTTATTAAAAAATGGTCAATGTTTTGGTTGTGGTTATTATTGTTGTTGTTGTTTAAATGATGATAATTTTCAACAAAAATATTCAAATATATTGATAAAAATTCCAATTGAAAATATACAAAATATTGCCTGTACAAATTATCATACATTTTCATTGGCATTTGATCGATCATCATCATCATCATATTATGTATGGGGTAAAATAGAAGATGAAGAATTATTAAAACCGGAAAAAATATTAGATCGACCAAAATCATTTGCAGCTGCAACGGCAATATTATTTCAATTACGAATAACATATGGCCTAACATCGGCCATTCATGTTTATGAATCAAATGATTCAATATCGATTATTGAATTATTTGATAATCCAGATAATTATGATGTTGAATTTATTGTTGATAATAAACGTATATTAGCTTGTAAATGTTATCTAAAAATTACCATAGAATATTATAATCGTATGTTTTCTGGTCATTGGAAAGAAAATAGCCGTGTTATTATTTATGATTATAGTTATGATACATATTATGCATATTTACGTATGTTACATAATGGTAGAATCGGTATAAAACAATCAAATATTATTGAACTTATTGATTTGGCAAATTGTTATGGTGATGAACGATTAATCAGACATTGTCGTACATTTATAAGAAAAAATTTAAATGAACAAACATTATTTACATATTTACCATTGATTAATAAATTTGAAATTAATGATATGCATGATAAACTAATTGAATTAACTATTGAAGATATTTTACCTAAAATTACAAATAATTTTTTAAAAAATCAAGAAATTATTACAAAATTTTTATTATGGTTTTCTGAACAAAAATCTTCTGATTAAATTGAATTTGAAAAAAAATGAAACAAAATTACAAAATATACAAATTTCTGTAAAAAAGTCCAATCTGTCTAATATCCGAATGAAGTAATTGTAAAATAAAAAATTGATTTAATAATTTTATATTGGAAATTTTATTAAAAATTTGAAAAAAACAACAGAGATTACGTACTCGATGAAAGGTCAATGACGATTTGTACGAAAATAAATAAAAAAAATTCAAATTGTTTTGTTTTTTTCACTCGCGCAACACGTTTTCCGTTTGTTTGTCTTAAATTACAAAAATATTGACTGTCATTTGATAATTTTGTTTGGTAATTTTGTGCATTACTTTTTTGTGATTTGTTTGTGTAGCAGACCATTGTTGAATATTGATTTTGCTGAGAACGAAATTGAAATTTTCCTGAAGAAAATAAAACGATGAAAAAATTACGAACCGATACTGAAGTGGATTTGAAATTATTTCAAAATGATTTAAAAGATATTGATCGGGAATTTATCCAAANTTATAATTGTCAGCTCAGTGTGTGTAATTATATTTTGTGATTTGATTTGTAAAATCAACATTTAATTAATGCATTTGTTTTGTATCGAAAACATTGATTTACATTGAAATAATTATTATTCGTTGAATATATTGTGATTGTCAACATAAGGTTTTTATCAAGAAAAACAACAAACAAACAAACAATGAAAAAATTACCAAATGATAATTGGTAATTAAAAAACAAACAAACAAACAAACAAACAAACAAATAATAATAAACAAATTTTATTTCAATTTTTTTTTTTTGTATACAATGTTCAATGTCAAATGATTCATTTGATGAAAAAAAAGTTACCAAGATCATCGTTCCTAAGGACTACGTGCAGGTTGGCAAATTCATCCGTGGAGATACCATGTTTTATCATAATACGATGACGAAAGTTCATCCAAATTGGGCACTCCAGCACCAGGTGTTCCATCGTCTACGGTTTGTTGCTATCACAAGGTCAGGAGCCATCCTGGACAAATTTGAATCTCCGGAGGTAATGTCTGGTGGCGTGTGTGTGTGTATATGTGTCTTAATCAATCGACGATTGATAAGCATAATTTCCACTAATCTATGTGTGTGTGTTCACTAAATTATGTCGTGATAAGTCGATAAAATATGACCAGATTCTTGGCAACGATATCGCTCCAATCAATTTTTTTGGGTGTGTGTGTGTGTTTAATAAATGTTTGATTGCACACTGTTTGTCATTTGAGATATTGTCTTGTACTTGTGCATTACATTATATGATTTGTTTATGTGTGTATTTTGTAGCAGATCATTGTTGAATATTGTTTTTGCTGAGAACAAAATTGAATTTTTAAGTAAAAAAACGATGAAAAAAATACCAACCGATATTTGGGTGGATATCGAATTATTTCAAAATAATTTTAACAAAATCAATGGCCAATTTATTCGAAACATTGTATCGATTTTTAAAATATCCCATCGATATGGACAAATTAGTTTTCTATTTATGAAAAATGATGCTACCTATGCTTATGGTAAAGGAATATGCAACCTGCTATCGTTTCAACATTATCCGAAATACCCAATACGGATTGACATTTTGAATAAGAAGAAAATCATTCAAGTGGAATCCGGTGAAGGATTCGTTGTCGTTTTAACTGATGATGGATTAGTTTATCTAGCCAGTGATGATTCAAGATGGAAAACGAACTATACTTTGCGATTGATCTCCACCGGTAATGATCGTTTTGAAATGATAGCATGTGGACATTATCATTTGTTGTTGTTACGACAAGATGGCACTGTTTTTGCTTTTGGATATAATAAATATGGTCAATTAACCAATTCACTGTCATCGTATGATACTGTCGTTAACACTGGTTTAAAAAATGTCAAAATAATAGCTTGTGGAGCGAACCATAGTCTTGCTCTCACCAATACGAATCATATTTATTCCTGGGGCTGGAATGATAATGGACAGTTAGGTCTAGGCGATACAAATTACCGAAGAACACCATCATTGCTTTCATTTCCTGGTGGTTCGATTCAAAGTCCAATCAAAAATGTTGCGGCCGGTGCAAGGCATTCATTATTTTTACTAGAGGATGGTCAGATTTTTGGATGTGGTTATGGTCAATATTCTATTAATGATAATAATGATCAAAATGCGATGGTACCGACAAAAATATCCATTGAAAATGTACAAAGTGTCGCTTGTATGAATTACACCATGAAAAATAATCTCGATTTTTCATTGGCTTTGGATCAGTCATCACATTATTATGCATGGGGTATAGTAAAGAATGAAAAATTGTTATCACCAAAAACATTGGGTGGTCGCCCGAAATCATTCGCTGCAGCATCAGCCTTGATAATGGGATCACCAATCACTTTTGGCCTAACACCAACAATCCATGCTTTCGAATCGAATGATACAATATCATTTATTGGATTATTGAATAATCCGGATAATTATGATATCGAATTTGTTATCGATGACAAACGTATATTAGCTTCAAAGTGTCACTTAAAAATGTCATCCAAATATTATAGTCGAATGTTTTCGGGTGAATGGCAAGAAAATAATAATAGAGTGGTGATTGATGCATATAGTTATGAAGTATATTATTCATATCTACGTAAATTACATACTGGTCACATCCGAATCAATCAATCCAATATAGTCGAACTTATTGATTTGGCCAATTGTTATGGTGATGAACAATTATTCAAACATTGTCGAACATTCATACGAAGCAATCTCAATGAACATACTTTATCCACTTATCTTCCATTGATTGTCAAATATGAACTTAATGATATGCATGGCAAACTTGTAGAATTAACTATCGAAAATATTTTACCAAAAATTACTAATGATCTTTGTGAAAACAAAGAAAATATTATAAAATTTTTATTATGGTTTTTTGAACAATAATTTTCAGGAACAAAAATTGTAAATTTGAATTTGTTTTTGAAGCAAATTTTTTTTTCTTAATACAAATTTCTGTAAAAAGTCCAATCTGTCTATATCAGAATGAAGTAATTTAAAATAAAAACATTCAAATAAAAAATTGATTTTAATTTTATATAGGAAATTTTATTAAAAATTTGAATAAAAATCCAAAGATTACGTACTCGATGAAAGGTCAATGACGATTTGTACGAAAATAAATAAAAAAAATTCAAATTTGTTTTGTTTTGTTTTTTTCACTCGCGCAACACGTTTTCCGTTTGTTTGCCTTAAATTACAAAAATATTGACTGTCATTTGATAATTTTGCTTAGGTAGTGTGCATTACATTTTGTGATTTGTTTGTGTAGCATACCATTGTTGAATATTGATTTTGCTGAGAACGAAATTGAAATTTTCCTGAAGAAAATAAAACGATGAAAAAATTACGAACCGATACTGAAGTGGATTTGAAATTATTTCATGATGATTTAAAAGATATTGATCGGGAATTTATCCAAAACATCGTATCGATTTATAAAATATCAACAAGTTTTGATGAAATGGGTTTTCTATTTATGACCAACAATGCTGCCTATGCTTATGGTTGTGAAATATGCGAATGGTTATCGTTACAACATGATCCTAAACAACCACAAAAGATTGAAATTTTGAATAATAAAAAAATTATTCAAATCGATTCAGGTGACGGTTTTGTTGTCGTCTTAACTGATGATGGACTAGTGTATCTAGCAAGTGGTGATATTGAATGGCAAACTAACAATACTTTTCGATTGATCTCGACCTGTGATGATGATCATTTTGAAATGATAGCATGTGGGTGCTATTATTTGTTGTTATTACGANTGTGGAGCTGGCCATAGTCTTGCTCTTACCAATACGAATCAAATTTATTCATGGGGCTGGAATAAGTATGGACAATTAGGTCTAGGCGATACAAAGGACCGAACAACACCATCATTGCTTTCATTTCCTGATGGTTCGATTAATAGTCCAATCAAAAATATTGCGGCCGGCTTATGGCATTCGCTAGTTTTATTGGAGGATGGTCAGATTTTTGGTTCTGGTCAACGTTCTATTAATGATGATAAGCAAGATTCAAAAGTGCCGACAAAATTACCGATTGAAAATGTGCTAAGTGTGGCTTGTACGAATGATCTCTTACTTTCATTTTTTTTGGATCAATCATCCCATTATTATGTATTGGGTAATTTATATGATGAAAATGAAGATGATGAAGAAGAAGAATTGGTCCCGCTCAAAAAATTGAATGGTCGACCGGAATCATTCGCAGCTGCATCAGCAATAGTATTCACATCACCAATCACTTTTGGCCTAACATCAACCATCTATTCATACGAATCGAATGATCCAATATCATTTATTGAATTATTGGATAATCCAGACAATTATGATATCGAATTTATCATCGGCGACAAACGTATATTGGCTTCCAAATGTCACCTGAAAATTTCATCAAAATATTATAGTCGAATGTTTTCGGGTGATTGGCAGGAAAATAAACTTGTGACCATTAAAAATTATAGTTATAATGTTTATTACTCATATCTACGTAAATTACATTCTGGTCACATCCGAATCAATCAATCCAATATAATCGAACTTATTGATTTGGCCAATTGTTATGGTGATGAACAATTATTCAAACATTGTCGAACATTCATACGAAGCAATCTCAATGAGAATACTTTATCCACTTATCTTCCATTGATTGTCAAATACGAACTGGATGATATGCATGACAAACTTGTNTTATTATAATCGAATGTTTTCAGGTCAATGGCAAGAAAATAAACAAGTGATCATCAAAAATTATAGTTATAATGTTTATTATGCATATCTACGTAAATTACATTCTGGTCACATCCGAATCAATCAATCCAATATAATCGAACTTATTGATTTGGCCAATTGTTATGGTGATGAACAATTATTCAAACATTGTCGAACATTCATACGAAAGAATCTCAATGAGAATACTTTATCCACTTATCTTCCATTGATTGTCAAATACGAACTGGATGATATGCATGACAAACTTGTAGAATTAACAATTGAAAATGTTTTACCAAAAATTACTAACGATCTTTGTGAAAACAAAGAAAATATTACCCAATTTTTATTATGGTTTTTTGAACAACAATCTTTTATTGGAAAAAAATTATCTTGAAAAAGATCAATAATTAATCAATAATATTTTACAAAAAAAAAAAATAAAACAAATTTTTTTTTTTAATTAACCTTTTTTGCGCCTTTTTTAAAAATCGGAATGCGCGCATGCTTGAAAATGTCTGCTCATTTGATATTCGGTTCGTTATATATGAATTCATCTGCTTTCACTCAGCATTGCTCACATCAGTTAATTTTTCGAATTCGAATGTTTTTTTTTTCATTTGTGTGTCATATTTTGAGCAATCTTTTTTTGTTTTTTCAATAAAAGTGTTTATTTTTTTTACCGAAATTTTTCTTTTGTCCAGTTTATTATTGTCATTGCAAACACTCTATCATTTTGATAATCTTGTTCAATTGGTGTGTATTGCATATTGTAATTGGTTTTTGTATTGAGAATTGAAACTAAATTTGCAAAAGAAAAAATGAAAAAATCACCAACTGATACTTACGTAGATATTGAATTATTTCGAAATGATTTAAAAGATATTGATTGGAATTTTATTGAAAACATTGTTTCAATTTATAAAATATCCATCTGTAAAAGAAAAATTAATTGTTTATTAATGACTAACGATGCCACATATGCTTATGGCAAAGAAATATGCAAATGGTTATCGTTGAAACATAATCCAAAACAACCACAAAAGATTGATAATTTGAATGGTAAAAAAATTATTCAAGTTGATTCGAGTGATGAATTGGTTGTCGTTCTAACTGTTGATGGACTAGTGTATCTAGCCAGTGAAGATTCTGAATGGCAAACGAACAATACTTTTCGATTGATCTCCACCGATAATGATCGTTTTGAAATGATAGCATGTGGAAGATTACATTTGTTATTGTTACGACAAGATGGTACTGTTTTTGCTATGGGTGATAATTTTTACTGGCAATTGGCCAATATTTCAGATTCATCGTATGATACTCTCGTGAACATTGGTTTGAAAAATGTTAAAACAATAGCTTGTGGTTTAGTTCATAATCTTGCTCTTACCAATACAAATCAAATTTATTCATGGGGCTGTAATGAGAATGCACAATTAGGTCTAGGGGCCGTTGATTTTGCTCGAGAAACACCCACTCTGGTTTCATTTCCTGGTGGTCCTTTTATTAGTCCGATCAAAAATATTGCGGCTGGCATGCATCATTCTTTATTTTTATTCGAGGATGGTCAGATTTTCCGATGTGGTTATGATGAATGTTATATTGATGATGATGATCAAAATACAATGGTGCCGAAAAAATTACCGATTGAAAATGTGCTAAATGTGGCTTGTAAGAATGATCTCGAAATTTCATTGGTTTTGGATCAATCATCCAATTATTATGTATTGAATGATTTAGATGATGAAAATGAAGAATTGAAAAAAAAAGAATTGGTCCAGCTCAAAAAATTGGATGGTCAACCAAATTCATTTGTTGCTGCATCATTAATGGCAATTCGATCACCAATCACTTTTGGGTTAACATCAGCCATATATACATTCGAAACAAATGATCCAATATCATTTATTGGATTATTGGATAAACCTGATAATTATGATGTTGAATTTATTATCGGAGATAAACGTATATTGGCATGTAAATGTTATCTACGAATGGTATCCAATTATTATAATCGAATGTTTTCAGGTCAATGGCAAGAAAATAAACAAGTGATGATCAATTCCTATAGCTATGATGCCTATTATTCATATCTAATCATGTTACATACTGGTCATATCCGAATCAATCAATTGAATATAGCCGAACTTATTGATTTGGCCAATTGTTATGGCGATGAAAAATTAATGGAAAATTGTAAAACATTCATACAAAGAGATTTGAATGAACGAACATTATTGGATTATTTTCCATTAATTAACAAATACCAACTTGATACAATGCATGACAAACTTGTTGAATTAACTGTCGAAAATATTTTACCGAAAATCGCTGATAATCTTTTGGAAAACAAAAAAAATATTATGAAATTTCTTGAATTGAATTTATATGAACAACAATTTTTTCTTAAAAAATAATCTGTAATCTTGTAATGTAATCAAATAAAAACTTTTTTTTTTGTAAAATAAATAATCCGATATTTCATTCAAGTATTTTTATTGTATTTGTAATTGTTTTTTTTCTTATTTATTCATTTTGAATACCAATCGAATGTATTCGTATCTACAAAAAAAATTGAAAAAATTAGAATATGAATTTGGTAAATTAAAAAAGAAACAAAACAAATTTAAAAAAAAAATGAATAAATTTTCAGGAAATTAAACTTGTATTAATTTAATAACAAAATCATTTGAACAACTTAAACCAGGTACAATAACTTCGGATGGTAATTGTCGTTGATTCAATTGTTCAATATGTTCAACACGTTTACGACGATTTTCCGATGGATTATGACCAATACAAAACAATAATAGGGCAATTGATTGAAATAATAATGCATTAACAGCTGTCATTATAATACAATAATAATAATGTTCATCATGTATCAAACCAATTCGATATAATAATATTTGTATTTCTCTATGACCACAACGATTAAAACCAAATATTAAAAACATTATAGCTTCAATTTGATAACGAAAAAGATTAAAAGTTGTAAACAATTTGAATGCAAAATGTGATAATGAATGTGGAGTTAATATGCTTAAAATAGACAATAACATTAATGCTGGAATTGATAGATATAGATTTAATCGATTACGACCAAATAATATTGAAATTATATAGCTTGCACCTTGAAATGCAATCATTGGTAATATTGATTGTATTATCATATAATACCATACATAACTTCGAACATCATAATAAATATCGATAACTATTGGATACAATACAATAACAGGCAAAGCAATAATCATTTCACATATTACTTTCGTTAGATAAAATGCACCAGAACTGTACCAACCTATAGTAAGAAAAAAAAATTACAAAGAAAAAAATTAATAATAAAAAAATATTTAAAGAATCGTTTCAATTAAATTACCATTTCGATGTTCAGTTTGAAATAAATTTCGTTGTAATACAAACATTGTAGCGAAAAACATACAACAAATTATTCCCAAACTATCTTGACAATGATTTATATAATGATAATTTCCTGTAAGATGTAATCTTTCATCTTTCGAACGATTACAATTGCTTAAATCTTCATCCAAACTCATACAACCACTAAGATAAACCATATTAGTATTGATTAAACTTTTCAAAATTAAACCATTTGCAACGCTAAAACATATGAATGCAAATATAAAAAATTGAGACAAAGGATATCCAATATAGAAATAGAATTGTCGTTGAATCAAAATGATGACAGATCTTAATGAAAATCGTGTTCGATTAGAATGTGGACCATCTAATACGGATTGAGTATCAGTCATTAGTTGATTTTTGACTGCATCACTCTTGATTGATTCGTTTACAGAATCAGACAGTGTTTTTATTTGAGAATCTAAGTGATTCAAACAGGAATATTTCATAATTTCTTCGACGGCAAATTTTTCATCATTATCATCGTGATCAGTAGAAACTTGCTGAAGATGATCATTGATTTGTGATGGTGGACCAGAAAAGATACAGACACCTCCTCTTGCAAGAATGTAAATCTGATCGAACAACATTAGCATCTCAGTATTCGGTTGATGGATAGCGGCCACTATGGTGATGTTGTGTTTGTGTGACATTCTTCGCAAACAAGAGATGATTACTTCGGCCGAATTTGAGTCCAGTCCGCTAGTCGGTTCGTCGATGCAAATAAAATTAGGCATTCGTTGCGACATCAATTCCAAAGCCAGTGCCAATCGCTTTCGTTGTCCACCCGAACATTTATTGACAAGTGTGTTGGCCGTATCGATAATNTAATATTGCATTAATGGCTGTCATTAATATACTATAATAATATTCTTCATCATGAATCAAACCAATTTTATACTGTAGTGTTACAATATGTTCGAGGTCCTCCTAAAATCCGAAAGCGTGGCAGACCTCGTGGGGAGGTGTAGTGTTACAATATGTTCGAGGTCAGCCTTGGCTTTCGAATTATTTAATTAACATTGGAAGTTCGGTTGTCGAACTTCGGAATTGTATTTAAGCATGAACAAAGTTTAATAAAGTTTGACTTATTTTCTGAGAGTAATAATTTACTTGTGTGATCTAACTACAACACTCTACTAGACAGCGATTACATTATAATACAATATAACTTGAATTTCTCTATGACCACAACGACCAAAACCATATACTAAAAACAGATGAGTGTTGATTTGATATCGAAAAAAATTGAAAGTAGTTATCAATTTGAATACAAAATGTGATAAAAATTAGAAATTTTATTTCTTTTTTTTTCAAAAAATTCATTATCAACAACATCGTGTTTTCCTTGATTTGCAATGATAATTTTCAATGTTAAGGTTGTTGTTGTTGTTCTCTTTATATTGATTTGATTTCTTTTTCATTGATTTGGTTTTTCTATTGATTGAAAATTTTCATTTGAAACCTGTTTCGCATTTTTGTTTCAGATGGAACATATTTTTTTTTTAATGTTTTTGATCTTGAAATCTAGATTTAACAAAAATTAAATTTTCTTTTTTTTTAAATTTTCTTTCTCAAAAGATGGCGATAGCTGTTACGTGAAAGGAACAACAACAAAAAAAAATTCACAATATTCGAAAAAAATATAAAATTTTTGACTTTTGGTTCAGGTTAGGGTTAGGTTAGGTTGATGACCATCACTATGATTCATGGTTCAGTTAGGTTAGGTTAGGTTAGGTTGATGACCATGACTATTAACTTATGGTTGAGTTAGGTTAGGTTGATGACTATGATTATGAAAAATTTAAAAAAAAATGATATGACAAATAAACGCGGGAGAAAATTAAAAAAAAAAAAAATGAGTTGACATTGTATTTACGCATGCGTATGGCAATGGTCACGTAAACAAAAAAAAAAGAAAAGAATTGAATTTCTTTTTTTTTTGCTCTAATTTCGATTTTTTCGTTCGGAAAAAAAGGAAAGAAAAAGAAAAACCAATTACGGATTAACTGGCTCATCAACTATAATGGATTATCTAATCAATATTGAATAATTTTGAAAAGATTTTTTTCGAAAAATAAACGAATCAAATTACAAAAAAAAAAATACTTTGCTCTATTTCAGCTATTTCTACCAAATAGGTATGACAGTGGTATACATGTGTGTTGTTATTGTTTGTTGATTGTGTTTCATTATGGTTGAATTGATTTTTTTTGTATGGATCAAGATTAAAATCAAAGAATAATTGCCCGTTTTTTTTTGATGATAAAATAACAAACGGGCAAAAGTATGAACCCGAATGTTGTTTTTTTTTCATTGAAAAAAACCAAAATTGTTAATCGTTGATAATCGAATTTTGTCTATATTCGCCTCTCAATTTCTTCAGTAATTCGAATTTTTTTTTTTTGGTTCGTAAAAAATTCGAAATTTTTGATTTTTTTTTCTCGGTTTTTTCTTCGTGAGCAAGAGGCGAGATAGAAAAAAATTTTTAGTTATCATCATCATCATAGTCATCAATTATTATCGAAATGCGTAAACATCGAAAACAACAACAACAACAACAACGTTTGGAACAACATTGTGAATGATTCCGGATAACGAATAAAAAATAATGATTGATAATAAAAACGGTGCTCAACAACACCGAGAACAGCAACCACAACAGTTGCAGCAGCCACGTCGTCGGCTGGTAAGCGATTTTTTTTGTTTTTGCCTTAATTTTCTAATCTTGATTATTCGAAATGATGTTTTTTTTTTGTTAGCGTTCTCGACAAAAACGTGCCCGTTATAATGAAGAATTATTGGATGATGAAGAAGATTTTTTTATTGAAGAACGTTATTTTAATGTTGAAGAAAAATTACAATGTAAAAGTTTTGCAAATTGTCAACGTAATTGTTTAAAAGAAATTGATGGTAATGATTTAACATTTGAATATTTTCAACGAAATGGTTTTCAAACACCAATGTTGGTTAAAGAAAATAAAAATAATGGTAAGGAATATTTCATTGATATTTACAGCAAAATCCATTAATCAATCAATTCAAAATATATAGTTTTAGGAATGAAAATACCATCGGATACATTTACAGTTGATGATGTTAAATCATGTGTTGGACAACGTAGAATACTTGATGTAATGGATGTTGAAACACAAAAAGCCAAAACAATGACAATGAAAGAATGGTGTAATTATTATAATAATACTGAACGTATTGAATTATTGAATGTAATTTCATTGGAATTTTCACATACAAAATTGGAAAATTATGTTGATTCACCACGTATTGTAAAACAAATGGATTGGGTTGATTTAGTATGGCCAAGATATTTGAAAAAACAACAAAAAGAAGGAACAAATGCTTTGCATGAAATGAAATATCCAAAAGTACAAAAATATTGTTTAATGAGTGTAAAAGGTTGTTATACGGATTTTCATATTGATTTTGGTGGTACATCAGTTTGGTATCATATATTACGTGGACGAAAAATTTTTTGGTTAATACCACCAACTGAAACAAATTTACGTTCATATGAAAAATGGACATTATCGGGTGAACAATCGAAAATATTTTTTGGTGATCTGGTTGAACATTGTTGTCGTATTGAATTAGAATCGGGTAATACATTTTTTATACCAACCGGTTGGATACATGCAGTTTATACAATGGAAGATTCATTAGTATTTGGTGGAAATTTTTTACATTCATTTGGTATTGAAAAACAATTACGTGTTTCGCAGGTTGAAGATGTAACACGTGTTGAATCGAAATATCGTTATCCATTTTTTATACATTTAATGTGGTATGTTTTGGTACGTTATGTACATTGTTTAATGGGTCGTAATCATTTAACGATTGATGATGATGGTAATCCGTTGTCATCGACATCATCATCACAATCGAAGCAACCGCAACAACCTCAATCATCATCAACATCGAATGATGATGGACAACAATCATCAGCAACAATAAAGAAAGAAGAATTTGATGAAAATTCTGCTAAAGAATTGGAAAAAACTGAATCAAACGATAATGGTGATGGTGGTGGTGGTGATGATAAAGAGAAAGATTCGAATTCGAATAAATCATTATCCGGTAGCCCATTCATAACATTTGTACCGAATGAAAAAATTCATCTAACAACATATGAAATTAATGGATTGAAAAAATTAATACAATGGCTGTCGCAACGTTTAACCAAATTACAACGTGAAATACGACAAGGAAAATCAAATGAACAATTATTACGAAATTTAATACCAGATTTAATAATATCGGCTGAAAATCTATTAGATGATGCAAAAAAAATGATTTTGGAACATGAAAATGATAATAATGAACAAGCGATTACAAATCGTCCGGTTTTATTTTGGTTAACAAAAAAAATGATTAATCAATTGAATAAACCAATGAAAATGGCAATGATAAAAAAATGTTTACCATCATCATCATCATCGACAACAACTTCTTCGTCTTCGACAACGATACAACAACATCAAAAGATTCCAATCAAACGATCATTATCACCAAATAATCAAAAGAATCAAGAATCTTCACAATCGCAACAACAACAACGACAAGTTAGCCTTGGTACAACTTTGAATTATGATCTCATTTCAAATAGTTCATTATTGAAAGGTTTAATTGAACAAACGGGTGTTAAAACATCATCATCTCCTCATTCATCAACAATGATAAATTCATCATTAGAATCGGAAGAAAATAAGAAATTTAAACCGCAACAGCAACAACAAGATACTGCCGCTCATTATTATAATTATTCATCGCAACCGCAACAGCCACCAGCAACATCATCTTATGGTGTTTATAATAATCATTCGTCTTCCGTTTTGAAAACAACATCGATGACAAATGCAACGAATACGATGACAGTAAATTCAACAAATGTTCGTGGTGGTAACAGTGGTGGTAATGGTGGTATAATAACCGAACATAATTATAATCTACATCCATCGGCTTATTATAATCCATATCAACCACATAATTATGCTTATCATCCATATAGTCATCATCAAATTCAATATAATCAACCATCATCGCAACAACAATCATCATCATTTCAAACACAATCACAAAATAATGTACAACATTATCAAACTTATATCTATCATCAGCCACAACAACAACAACAATTGTCAACAACAAATATTCCAAATTCTGTACAACAACAACAACAACAACAAATAATTTTACAACAGAATCCAGCTGCAACTGTTGCCGCACCGACAACAACAACAACAACAAATATGAATGGAAATTATTCAAATCATCAGTATTATAATAATCATCCATCATCATCAACATCATCATTACCTATAAATGTAAATTATTCATATGTATCTCAACAGCAAACGCCAACAATTCTACCATCATTACAGCAGCAGCAGCATCAACAGCCTCAACAACAACAACAACAATCACCAAAAGTTATTTATTTACATCATCCACAACAACAACAACAGCAACAAAAACATCCAACAATAATCTATCCACAAATGAATTATTCATCATCATCATCATCATTACCACAACATTATTCATATGATAATAAACAAATATCATCGAATTATAATCTTAATCAAAATTCATTATCACATTATACAAATACCATTCCATTATCATCATCATCATCATCAACCGCAACACAGCCGCCGCCGCCGCAAAGAACTTTATTTACCGTTTCATATACGCCCAATCAAACGGTTACTTATTCGAATGTATCACAACAACAACAACAACAATATCCGCAGCAAAGACAGCCGCAATTATTACAATATTCATATCATCAACAACCAACAACAACAACGATTGCTATACCTGCTACTAATAATGTTCATCATGTTCCGATTGCGTATCGACAACAACCGCAACAACAAACAATGAACAATAATAATAATAATAATGTGCCAATGATCAATTCAATAATAAGCTCCTCAACATTACCACAATATTCAACAACAATTTTACCAACAAATAATCATTATTATGGAAGATAATAATAATGTGAATACAAATCTAAGGAGCTATTTAATTGATCAACAGGCACAACAACAACAACAGGCATTAGCATCAGCAAATTTAGCGGCAAATCAATCAACAACTAACGGTATAAATAATTTGGGCATACCATCATCATCAACAGTAAATAATATTACCGGTAGTAATTCATTGATACATTCACATAATCCACATCAACATCCAAATACAGCGGCAATGTTAACGGCAACTAATCCATATGGTGTTCCATCAATACCAACTCATCATCCACATTTACATCATTCGCATCCTCATCATTATCCATCTTATCCTTATTATCCACATCATCATCATCATCATCCATTACCACCTCAAATACCACCACCACCACCACCTTCTACTTCAATTGTTTCATATGGTTCAACAATTGGTACTGGTCATCATCATCATCATCCTGGTCTTCATCATTCTACACATCATCCACCACCATCACATCATTATTCTATTCCATATATGACCGGTATGGCACCCCCACCACCACCACCACCAATTCATATTCCATCTACAACGATTGTATCAAATCCGATACCAGTACCACCACCGCCACCGATAACAACAGCAGCGGTACAAAATTCTTCTTCATCATCTTTGGTGACAACAAATTCTTCAAATACTACTGGTTCGAATCGTTCAAATCAATCGAACAATCATAATCGATCGAATAATAATGGAAAAGAATCATCATCGCAGGCAAATACAAACAATAATTCCAATAATAATTCATCATCAAATAAACAATCATCATCAAATGATTCATCAAGAAGACGACGAACAAGATGTAAAAAATGTGAATCATGTTTACGTGCCGATTGTGGTGATTGTCATTTTTGTAAAGATATGAAAAAATTTGGTGGTCCAGGTTTGTTTGTTTTTTTGTTCTAAATTATCAATTGGGATTTTCATTAATGAGAATATCATTATATCGTAGGTCGAATGAAACAATCATGTATAGCACGACAATGTTTAGCACCAGTTTTACCTCATACTGCTTGTTGTATTATTTGTGGTCGTGATGGTTGGGAAAAATTATCCATTGATCCATCGTTGGCTGATGAAACAGCATCATCATTAATGGAATGTTCACAATGTTGGGAAATTGTTCATCCATACTGTTTGAATGAACGGCAACCAGATCTTTTTTTACATAATAAAGGTAATTTGTTGGTGGTGGTGGATTTTCAAAAGCAAATTTTAAAATAATTTTTTTGTTTTGTTTTGATGATAATCAGGTTTCATCAATAAAGAATTACCAAATTCATGGGAATGTCCTAAATGTATTAAATCGGGTAATAGTTCGAAACAACAACAAAATCCATCTCAAACATCAACATCGTCTACATCAACAACATCATCGATTGCTCAATCTGGCTCAAAATCTCATCAAATACCACAACAGCAACAACAATCATCAAATATGAATCAATCATGGTCAATAATGACTTCGAGCAATAATGATAAATCGGAAACAACGACAACAACAACAAAACAAAGATTAAAATCAAATGATTCAAGCCCACCGGGTTCCGATCATGATAATATCAATGATGTTAATAATATTAATGAACGTAAAAATCATAAACAAAAAATAACGAAACGAACGAAAAAAACTGAATCTTCGAAACCAAAAAATCGTAATAAAACAACACCAACATCATCCTCGTCAACAAATAATGAAACATCAACAAATTCTATCGTACGACAACAGCAACAATCATCTCCAACAACGGCGGTAATACCATCTCAACAAATACCGCAAACACCAAGTCAGCCATCAAATCTTTATATTCCGTATCATCATCATCATCCATATGGATCTCCTATGATGCCACCACCGCCACCGCATCCTTCCCATATTTATGCTCATCCGCCACCACCACCAACTCACGGTGGTGAATATTCAACAATCTTACATCATCCTTATCCAAGTCATCAATATGCAGCTGCGGCTGCCGCCGCTGCAGCAGCAGCTGCTGCAGCGGCCAATATGTATCATCATGATATTAATCATTGTCATGCGGCATCTATTCCTAAATCATATGATCCACACCCACACCATCATCATTTAAATCCAGGTGGATATCCACCTCAATCGATTCAGCAACAACATTTACCTCCAACATTACCACCGCCACCGCATCATCATCATATGTCTTTAATACCTCAACAACAACAATCACCGTTCCCTGTTCATATACCAACTTCGGTATCTTCGGTTGTTCAATCAAATACTATGTCTATACCTTTGCCACCACCACCACCATCTATACCCAGTGTGGAAGGAGGTAATTAACTTATATTTTAAAAATTTTAAAAATTTTATTTTTTTAAACAATTTGAAATAGATATTGAAAGAATAGAATCGAAACCATCTAATCAGGATGATAATAATCATCAAAATGCTCGATCATCTTCATCATCAATGAATGTAAATGTAAATCAAAAGATAATGAAACAAGAACCAACAGATTCTGGTCAACAAGAGAATGGCAATGATAATGATGATCATAGTAGTCATTCTCGAAATAATATTGATGATGAAAATGATCAAATATCGAAAACGAACGAAAGTGATCAAGTGGAAGAAAACAATGAGCAACAACAAGAACAACAACAAGATGAAGAAATGGAAACGAATAAAAAGAAAAAAGAATTGAAAAAACCAATACTTGTGGTATGTAGATATACTTCGATTTTGATTTGGTTTTTTATGATGTTTTTTTTTAAAAAAATCCTATAAATAGGTTCGTCCAGCACCATTAGATGAAGATATTTCTGAATCTGAAAGTGATAATAATAATGAGGATGATGATGATGAAACAAATAATGATAATCAAGATGAACAACAAGACCAGGATGAAGTGGATGATATCAGTGTTACATCATCAGCCAATCGATCTCGAATGAAAATTCGTGAACGAAAAATTCGTCAATTAATGAAACGATTTCGAAGAAAAATTTCTCATCAAAATCTAATCGAAACGGAACGTGATGTTGTTCTACCGGTATTACGTCAACTAAATCGTAATGATCTTTTAAATTGTATGGTTGTATCGAAAAATTGGAATAGTAAGTGTTAAAAAATGATTAAAGATTTTTTGAATGATTAAATTTTTTTCCAATTACAAAATTCATAGAATGGTGCTGTGATCCAAGTCTTTGGCCAGAATTAATTGTTCAACCAAAAACCCGAATAAATTCCTGGATATTGGCCGGTATTATACGACGACAACCAAAATCATTGGATCTTAGTTGGACTAAATTAACAAATAAACAATTATCATGGCTTTTACCTCGATTACCACAATTACAAACATTAAAATTAATTGGACTGAAATCGGCTACAATCAGTGCATTACAAACATGTAATTGTCCATTATTAACCGAATTAGATTTATCATGGTCTGAATCATTTTGTGAAGATTTTATACGATATTTACTTTGTAAACCACCGGATTCAAGACCAGGTCAATTAGAATCGAAAACACGTTTACGTTATTTAACAGATTTTCGTTTATCTGGTAAGTTATCAAAAAAATTTTCAAAAAAAAAAAGTTTATTTACAATGAAATTTTCTTCAATACAGGTACTTTAATAACTGATGAATCATTAAGACATATAAATCAAAATTTACCATTAATTCGAACAATTGATTTATCGGAATGTCATCTTATAACCGATTCCGGTATTGCATCATTAGTTATATCAAAATCAGATAAATTAATTGAATTATATATGGCTGGTTGTTCAAAAATAACTGATGTTAGTTTAAAATTATTACGACAATGTCATTTATTGGAAAAATTAGATATACGTGAATGTCGATCGATTACGGATGAAGGTTGTGAAAAATTTTTAGATCCAAATCATCATTATGATGATGATGATGATGATAATGAACAAGATCCAAATAATCATTCAGATCAAGATATTGATGGCGATGATGATAATGATGAAAATATTGATCGAAATATGAAACAAATAAAACGAAATTGTTGTTCAACTGCCAATCATGGATATTATCATCAATGGGAAATATTGAAGGAAAGATTTTTCATTAAACGACGACAATTATAGTAATCAAGGGCGGCACACACCACTATCATCATCACCAAAAAAAAAGAAACTCATTTCATTCATAATCATAACTATTCAAATTTCATTCTTATTAGCATCACTTTATTTTTTTTTTAATTTCCTTCTTTTGCTTAGCACGATTCTTTTTTCTTGGTTTCACTCGTGTTTTTTTTTTTGTGTTTTGATAACAACCAAACAATTTTCCCCTTAACTATTGTAATTATATAATAATTAAAAAATTTTAAAAATTTGAATTTTTTTTTGAAAAATTAATTTTCTTTGATTCGAACACATAGCGACATCTATAGTGTGTGTTTAGGGTAAAGAATTTTTTTTTTTGCGAAGAAATTCGAAATGCGCATTTCATTTGAAAAAAAAAAGAAGGAACCACCATTTTTCGGAACTCGGTAAGAGAGAATGATGACACTCACATATAGCTGCTGCACAATATGTTCCAGGAACAAAAATTTTTTGTTTTGTTTTTGTTTTTCTGGTTGTTGTTTATATAAATTCTATAGCTGTGTATGTAGGTTGGTGAACTTGATTAAGAGTAAACCAGAAAAATTTTTGGTTGAATTGAATGTCAAAAATGGATACAAAAATTGATCAAATACTTTTTACGATTAATGATAATAATGATGATAATGATCAGCAAAAAGATGATGGTGGCCATAATACCATAATTGCAAATGTCGAATCAAAAATGTTATTGTCCAATGATGTTGATGATAAAAATGTTAATAATTTTTTACTAAATGATTCAATTGTACCACCAACAGCAACATTAGAAATATCATCAACAATGATCATTAATGAATCAACCAAATCGAATAATGATGGCCAAAATATTGATAAAATCGATAAAAATGATGAAAATCTAATCAATGTTGATGATGATGACGGAAATATTAAAATGGATTATCATTTTAATCCATTATATGTGATTAGTGATAGAAATTCTTGTCAGCAACAACAACAACAACAAGATCAGGAATCATTATCAATAAGAAATAATGATGATCGACCAATTTATTTATCATCAACATCATCAACAACATTTGGTCAGGAATTTTTTCAATCACCACCATTACCACCAAATGATCAATATGGTTTGATTTATATTTCATTAGTTATGGCCGGTATTGGTTTTCTTCTTCCATACAATAGTTTTATGATTGCTGTTGATTATTTTCAACAAAGATTTCCGGATACGACAATAATTTTCGATATGTCAGCAACATATATTGTAATAACATTTTTCACTGTGATTATACAGAATTTATTTGTTGAAATTATACCATTTCGTTGGCGTTTAAATTTTGGTTATCTTATTTCATTATTATTTATGATGTTTGCTGTGATTTGGGAAATTTGGTTACGTTTAGGTACATATTTAGATAATTTAATTATTATTAGTATAATTGCTGTTGGTTGTTCAATACAACAATCAACATTTTATGGTTATACATCGATGTTACCGAAAAGGTAATTTGATTGTCAAATAATAATAATTGATTGACAAAAAATAATCTTTCTGTTTTTTCGCAGATATGTACAAGCTGTGATGACTGGTGAATCGGCTGCTGGTGTTTTTGTTTCATTCAATCGTATTATAACCAAAATACTTTATCCAACTGAACCAGAATTCAATACGATATTATTTTTTTCAATATCAATCATTGTGATTAGTATTTGTGCCATTATACATGTTGTTATATTACCACGTAGTGATTTTATTCGTTATTATTTATTTATTTGTTATGGTAACCAAAACAATGTTGATAATAATCATCAAAATGGTCGTTTAAAATTTGATGATGCAAAAATAATTAATCAAATTAATGAAAATGTTAATCTTGTTAATATGTATCATCGAAAAGAATCAGAAGCAATAATGAATTTATCAATAAATTCGGATTCGAATCTTATTAATCAACAATCACAAATTCGACCATCGATACTATCGATTGATTCACAGCAACAATCGACAACCGGAACAAATTCGAAACCAATTTTATTATCAAATAATAATCGTCAAATAAATTTACAAACTAAAGTACAAAATATACTACGTACTGATTCAACTGAATTTGTTTTACCATTCGGTATTGATGATGATGAAATTAATAATAATAATCATAATGATGATAATGACGATGTTGTTGTTGTTGTTGAACAACGAAAACAATCAATCGAATCAACTCAATTTGATCATTTAGATAATCATGATCGAAATGATAATTCAAATATAAATATTGATGATAATAATAATAATGAAATGGATTATTGTTCGATTAGTTTTAAAACACCAAGAACAACAACAACAACAACAATTTTAATACGTTGGTTACATTATCTTGAAACATCCATACATTTTCTGCAATATTTTCGTCGATTATTTCGTCATTTATCTCATTGGTTTGTTTTTTTTTTGTTGTTTTTGAATTTAGTTTAATTTTTCTTTCTTTTGTTTTTTTTCGCAGTGATAAAAATCTACGAAAATTATTTACAACATTATATCATAAATATCAAATACGTCGTGATATAATCAAACAAATATGGCCATTTATTTTCACTATAATAATTGTCTATTCAGTTACATTAACAATATTCCCTGGTATTGAATCGGAAATTTATTCATGTCGTTATGGTGATTGGTTCCCGATCATATTAATGGCTATATTTAATTTGACCGATTTTTTTGGCAAATTAATATCGACATTATTTTTTCGTATTAATCCAAAATATTTACTATTATTTGCTTCGATTCGTTTCATATTAATACCATTATTTGCATGGTCAATAATGCCACGTTCTGAACCATTTTTTTCCAATACATTTTGGCCAATTTTATTTTCAATACTTTTAGGTATGTTATCATTGGTTGTTCTGTTTGATTTTTCGACCGTAACCAACCATAATATTTTGACTGTTTATTATAATTATTACTGTTGATAAATGATAAATTCATTTGTTTTTTCTCCCCACACACACACACACACATTCTTTGAATATAACAGGTACAACAAACGGTATATTTGGTTCATTACCAATGATATTGGCACCATTTAAAGTTAGTGAACAATGGCGTGAAATAACTGGAAATTTAATGACATTTTCATATGTAATTGGTTTAACGGCCGGTTCATTTGCTTCTTATTCACTTAATAATTGGACATTGTCATCATCATCAACGTCAATGTCAAATCATATTCAACATTATTGTCCATCCGAATCGATAATAACATCGGATACAATCGAAACAACCACAACCGCCAATTTAGTACCTTTAACAAATATTTTATTCAACAATAATACTTTAGTATCATCATCATTATCAACAACAACAATTTCAACGCCAATCAATTTGACAACAACAACAACAATGATGATGATCAATTCTATAACCAGCACCTTAAATTTAGCCACAACAACAACAACAACACCAGCAATGACAACAACAACTATTTCATCGATGATTATAGATCCATCCATTTGATCTATCTATTGATTCATTTTTTATTTATTTATTTGTTTTCATTGCTTTTTTTTTTGTTTGGTGAGAGGGAAAACTGTAATTTCAAACAACGAGGGGAAAAAAATATAACTTTACTAAAAATATTTTTTATCCTAGATTTTTTTTTATTGGACGGATGTTATATAATAAAAATATTAATAAATGACTAAAAGAAAAAACAGGTAATGATTTAAAAAAAAACAAAAAATCTAAAAATAGTGTTGCTCCTCTCGATGATCATGATTTATCAATGATAATTTTATGATGATGATGATTATGATGGCCATCATTAAATCATCAACATGATGATGATCATGATCATCACTAAATCAAAAAAAAAAATTTCTTTGGTTAAAATTAAACCAAAAAAGAAGGAAAAAAAATCCGTTTTTCTTTGGTTTTTTTCATTCGTTTAACAAAAATTTTTGTTTACTTCGAATCATAATTATCGATAGTTTCGTTCATCATCATCGATTGGAATGATTATCCGGTTTGGATTTTTCGTTCATTTCATTCGAATTTTGAATTTCAATTTCGAAATTATCATATTCTTTAACCATGAAACATTTTGCTAAATTAAATATGTAAATATGTTTTTTTTGCTGACAAAAGCAAAAATTTTTTTTTCAAATTCAATATCAAAATCATTATCATATTCCCCTTTTTCTCTCTTTTCCATTGGTGAGTATGATGATAAAGCAATTTGAATTCAATTTAATCATCATTGAGAGAAAGAAAAAATATATGCCAAAATTCTCATTATCAATTCATATGTGGATATAAATTAAAATCACATCCGAAAGCAAACGAAAAAAAACATACATCATTCCAGATATGATGATGTCCACATCAAGAGTTGGCCAAAAAAAAAATTGAGCAAGCGATATCGAATCGATGAGAGAAACGAAAGAGAAGCATTGAACCAACCGACAATAATCAACAACAACAACACGGACATCGAACAAACAACAAAAGTATCCCTTCAATATAACGTTAACAAGCAAGCTAAAGCAAAAAAAAAAAATCAAGCTCAACATAAATGCATAGAGCAAGCGAGTGAGAGAGAGAGGCAGGGAAAGAGAATCAGATACACACAGCGAGTTCCAATTACTCTCCCAAATGAAAAAAACAACAACAACAAACCGAAAAAAACGACCATGTAAACAAAAATATCGTATGTTTAATTTAGCCCAATTTTTTTCAATTTTTCAATTTGTTTCTCTTTCTTATGTCCCAGATTTTTTTCTTCTTCGGAAAACAAGAAAAAAAACTTCAAAATAAATTTCGTAAAAAAAAGGGTACGATTATGTTCAACCGATCACCATCAATCTTCTGATTATTGAAAATATTTACATTCGTTGAATTTAATGATAATGATGATGATGGAGAAGCCATAAATCATTCATCCAAAACTCATAATAATAATCATATTTGATATGATTACAATCGAACGATTTAAAACAAAAAATTAATGATGATGATAATCGATACCATTCTTTTGTTTATATTATCGATACAATCGATTAATTGTCAAATTGTAATTTGAATCCATATTTTAATTTTTTTTGGTTTTGTTTCTTCTTCTCTGGTTTAATAATCTGGGCTTGGTTGTTGGTTGTGATCGTTTGAAAGAAGCCAAAATTCCTTTATTTTGTTCTCCACATTTATAAATATGCGATCATCATCAAATCGAAATATTTCGATGAATTCAACAAATCAAAATAACAACAACAATTCAAACAATAAAAGTAAGTAAAAAAAATGTTTGTATTTCGGCTGTTTGGAATGTAAAAACAAATTTTGTTTCAAAATAATTTTTCCTATTTAATTGATATGTTTGTTTTTTTTTTGTTTTGTTTTGTTCATTGTCAGAAGATACGAATGTTAAATTCGTTCGATCCGAACCAGTATCACCATTATCAACAACCAAAACATTAACATCATTATCAATTTCATCATTACCATCATCAATATCAACGACATCATCATCATCATCATCGACATCATCAAAACAATCATCTCATGAAAATTTATTTGATCGTATTAAGAAAGCCTGTTCAGTTGGTAAATCAAATAAATCATTATTGTTATCAACAACATCGATATCCACTTTATCCACTTCATCACCACCGATAACAACAACAACAACGTCAATGAACGCTAAAAATCAACAGCAACAAATCCTCAATACAAATAATAACCAAAATGGTTCCATAACGGGTCAACAACAACAACAACAAACTGTATCAACACAGACAATTCAATCACATTATCAACAACAACAGCAACAAACAACTAGTCCATTGACCAATACTGATTCCAAACAACAACAATTATATTCAACACAATCGATACCAGATTTTTCATTAACAAATTATCATTATCGTCATAATGATAATGTTATGAATGAACAACAACAACAACAATCATCATTATTATTATCATCATCAGCTGGTAAATCAACAAGTGATTCAAGTCTTTATTATATCAGTGGTGGTGGTAATAATGGCAATTCAATTCAAATTGATACAAAATTAAATAATGAAAATGAAAATAATAATGATATAAATGTTGGTCCAATTATAACCGGTGCTGTACAAAAATTACCATCATCAGCTTGTTCACCATCAAAACAATTATTGAATAGTCTTTTGTTTCAGAATACATTTCCAGCATCAATTGAACAACAAAAACAACAACATTCACCATCTTTTCATCGTATTATTCCACCGCAACAGCAAAATTCTTTAAATAATCAATATCAATTTGGTAAAATTCAAACAAAATCAAATTTAATTGGTAATAATCGTTCAGTATCAACATCATTATCATCATTTGGTACAGCAATAGCAACTGTAGCACCATTTGATCGTGCAACAAGTGCATTACCCGAATCACCACCAACAACAATTTCAAATATTCATCATCATTATCATAATCATCATCAAAGAAATTTATCATTAACAAATAATAAAATGATTAATGCTCAAATTGAACAGCCGAAAAATACTCATGTTCCTGGATCAACAGCAACAACAACAACAACAACAACATTATTGACATCAAGGGTCACACCAATCATACAGCATAATAATGTTATTGATGATAATAATGACATTGAAAATAATGATGATAATGATCATAGAGTTGATAATGATGATGATGATGAATTTGATCATTCATCACCAATGTCATGTTCACCATCATCATCATCATCATCATCATTATCACCAACAAGTAATAATAATATTAATTTACAATCATTAAATAATTATCAATCACCACCACCACTACTACAACAACAACCGATCAAAATAGCAACTGTACAATATTGTCAACGTTGTTGTGTCCATTTACCAAATTCATCATCATCATCATCATCATCAACAGCATTGACTAATGAACCATCATCATCAACATCAACATCAAAAATCGATACAATTGTCGATAGTAAATTGTTATTGAATAAAAAACAACGACAAATTGATTATGCGACAACAGCAAGTAATATGATGATACATCCAACAACAGCAATCAATACGGTTAAATATGTTAAAAATAAATCCAAAACAAGAAGTTTAAATCGTAATCAAATTAAATGTTCATGTAATAATCATCAACAAAATAATAATAATAATTTAATTAATAATAATAACCGAAATATGGGAAAAGTATTATTACCACTCCAATTGGATAATGATAATTTTTCTAATCATCATCAATCAATAATATCGACAACAACAACAACAACAATAATGGCAACAACAACAACAACAATGGCTACAGCAACAACAACAAACGAATCAATTAATAATCAAAAATCAATAAATAAAGATAATTTTAATCATCTTGATGGCCAATATTATCATCAACGTAATAATAATTCATTATGTAATAAAAGTAGTGGTAATGCTGCTTCTACCGCCGCTGCTAGTGATAAGGATGTTGTTTATCTTAATAATAATCTCAATGCTTGTACAACAACGGTAAATATTTTATTTTTCTGTTTCTTTTTTGAAAATTTTTTTCATTTCCTTTTTTTGTTGTTGTTGAAAAACTTTCTCTTGATTTGGTTGATTCGGTTGATGTTTCAGATCTCAGATATCTTTTATCTTGATCAAATTTTTTTTTTGTTTGAAATATTTTCTCTTGATGATGATGATGATATTGGATCCATTTTGCATTTTGTTCAAAAAAATTTGTCACAATTTTTCTTTTTAGCCCATAAACATCAATTGAATTTTTCAATTATTTAATCGATTCATTTCATCATCATTCGCGTTGTCTTGACGTTTTGTTATTCTCTCTTTCTCTATGATGATGATATTTATGTCGATCATCATTGTGTTTTCGTTGTCTTGACGTTTATTGTTCTTTTTGAAGCCATTAATGATGGTGATACGCCTTTTTTTCCTGATTATTGATATGCGCCCACACACACACACACGCGTATATACGGCTAACATCCTTTCTTTTTTTCGAAAAAAATTTTCCATTTTTCTTCCCAATGGTAAATGGTATCCATGATCTTGTTTCATAATCATCATCATTGAGAATCTGATGTGATGATCATTTGGCAGCAAAAAAGACATCTTCATCTTTCAATTTGAAAGAAAATTTCAATTTTTTCATTGAATGTTTTTCCTTTCAGCAGTGTTGACAGCTAATTAACATTGTTTCATTTCAAATTTTGATTGTCGATAATGTTGTTGTTGTTTTGTCTATATATTTATTGATTTGATTGATTTATATTTAGCAAAAAAGGAATCTTTGTTGTTATTTGATGGTGTTTTACGGTTTCTATGTTTTCAGCCAAAAATCAAATGATTTTTCCAACCATAAATAACCATTTTTTTCTGCTGTAACAAGTGTATTACACCGATGATAACAACAACCAACCAGTGATAGTGACGACCAAAAAACAACAACAAACCTGATAATATGAGATTTTGTTTGCTTGTTTAGTGTGTTTTGTGTTGATAGTTTGTTATTTATTTATTTGGTAGATTATTATCGACAACAAAATGTTGATTTCACTAATTTGATTTTTGGTTTACTCATTCTCGGTGTGTTTTTGTGTTTTTTTTCTGATTTATCATCATCATCGTCATTATGATCTATAATTAAGTAAAGGTTAAAAGAATCAAATCAATTATGGGGTTATCAACATCGAAACAACAACGAAAATATTCATCATCAAAACGTTCAATTTCATCTACAGTATCATCATCATCAACAATAAAAGATTCGAAAAAATTCAATAATAATAATAATAATAATAATAATCATAGTTTACGTAGTAATAATTCAAAATCATCATTATCATCGAAAATAAAAAATCGTAACATTGAAATATCTTCACCGATTTCGGTTAGAAAATTAAATAATAACGATGATGACTATAATCAATTTCGTAATTTCAATAATGTTTTACCGATACGAAATTTGAACAAATCGCCAGCACCGCTGCCACCTTCGAAAACAGAGACAGCATTTAAATGTTTAAATAATGATGATGATTTAAATTTATCACCGACAACAACGCCACCACCTAAACCACCTCGTCTTCGTAATATTGATGAGGATGTAGTTGATGATAATAGAATGATATCTGTTGATATTGGTGATGATCAAAATGTTTCTAGTCTAAAACGAAAAAATTCCTATTCGGATCCAAATTTTCTAAATAATGATATAACCAACAGGCAATCATTAACGGATTTTTTTGATTCATCATCTCAAATAACTGAAATTCATTTAAATTCTGAAATATTAACACAACCTGTTGAACATTCATTAGTTATTCGTAATTTTGATGTAAATTTTTTTTCAAATTTTCATTCCTTTTTTCTAATTGACTTTTCTTTTCTCTTTTTTTTTAAAAAAACAGAACCACGATAATAATAATTTCAAAAATCAGAATAATGAATTTGTCAATAATCAACAATATATTCTACAGATTGAACGAGAAAAATTGGAATTACAAAAACAGTTGATTACATTGGTACAGAATGCTGATTCAAAACGATTAGAAATTGAACATTTACAAAAAGAATTGAAACAATTGAAGAAAAAATATAATTCAGAAAAAACTCGACAACAACAACAACAACAGCCAATCGAATTGAAATCAACATTATCGTTAGAGGATTCCGTATTGGAAAAAGAATTACAAAATGATGTGGATGATGAAACAATGCCCGTTTCAAATATTGAAAATGATGATGATGGTGAACAATCAGAAATGATTAATGAATTGGATTTGATGGCAATTCCATCATCGACCACAATTATTGGTAAGAATCTTTTTTAAATTTATTTTTTAAACAGGTTTTGAAATTTTTATTTTTCCAAATTCATTATCATCAGGTGAACCATCATCAACATCGAACAATAACATTATTGAATGGGATAAACAATCATCATCATCAATATCAGAATTATCTGTTGCCAATCTACAAGATCGAATCAATCAAATGGAAGAAACACATTATTCAACATCGGAAGAATTACAGGCAACATTACAAGAATTGAATGATTTACAAGAACAAGTAATGGATCTACAAAAATCAAATGAATTATTGCAACATGATAAAAATTTTCTATTAGAAACATTATGTGAACAGACAAAAAAATTGGATAATTGTATTGTACGTATTGAACAATTTCAACAAATGATAATTGATCAATATGATGATGAAACGAAACATAAATTATTATCACCATCCGAAAGGGAAGAAAAATTGGTTGAAATGTTAAAATTTATGCATGAAGAAAAAACTGAATTAGAAATTAAACATGATGAATTAGTTTATAAATTAGAAGAAATGAATACAAAATCAAAATTAGATGCAAATAATTTATTTGAATTTGGATTATTATTTAAATCATCTACAAATACCAAAGAATCTACAGCAATGATGATGACCGATCATGAACAAAAAGATATTTGTCTAATCGATCAACATCATCATAATGATAATGATAATCTAGTCGAATCTACATCAATGATTGTAGCAAATAATTCATCACAATCATCATCATCATCAAATAATGTTGAATCTTTACAACAAGATCAATCAAATAAACAGCAAAAAATGTTAGCCAAATTACATAATGCAAAATCATTACAAGAAATATCAATGCCAACAACAGGTTCATTTCATAGTCTTGATGGTTTAACAAGTAAAAATTCCAGTTCAACTGAAGAAACAATTGAAATGTTACAATTTTTGGTTAAACAATTACAAGATAGAATATCAACACGTGAATTAGATTTGAAAAAACTTAAAGATCAACTTATTCTGTTAGAAGTTGAAAAGAAAGAAGAATATGTAAAATTAGAAATACAATTGAAAAATTTAGAAAATCGAAATAAAGAATTAAATGAACGTAATGAAGAACTATATCAAAGACTTAAGACAACTGAAGAAGCAAAAATTGAATCAGAAATTCGTGCACAAAAAAATCTGGATGAAAAACGAGAAATACGTTCATTATTGGAGGATAAAGATCGGCGATTAGCCGATTTGGAAATGAAATTATCAACAAAATGTAAAGAACTTTCCGAACTGGAAGATAAACGTGATCTTGAACATTCTGAATGGAAACAATTTCAACAGGATTTATTGACTACTGTACGTGTTGCAAATGATTTTAAATTGGAAACATTAGCCGAATATAAAGTATTATTGAATGAAAAGAATATGATTGAAGAAAAATTAAATCTACTTGAATCTGAATTACAAAAATATCGTCAGGAAAATAAAAAACTTCATCATCAACAACAACAACAACAGCAGCAATATTCACGTTCCGGTGTCGCAGTTGATCCAGTATTGCAATCTTCGTCCAATAGTGTAAATGTCACATCTAATGTTGGACAAAATTCTTCGGGATCATCATCATTAACAAAAACAATTAATGATTCAGTAACGGTAGCTACAGTTAAACCAATGGTAACAAAATCACAACAACAACAACAATCATCATCATTGTCATCATCATCAACATCATCTTCGTCATCATCATCATTATCATCACCAAAAACATCATTATTAACAATAATTCAAAATTATGAACCAATTTCGAATGGATCGACAATTAGTCATCAAAATAATACAACTGGTGGCCGAACATTAGCGCGTAGCAATAGTAGCCAGATTTCTGTTCGAAGTTTGATTGAAACTTTTGATCCGAATAGTAAACAGCAACAAACATCACAACAGCTTATTTCACCATCATCAACACAATCATCCAATACAATTACATCGAATGGTACTACAACTAACGGTTCATCTGTACCACCATTGTGCAATCGATCCAATTCAGTACCGATACTTGGTCATAATGATCTACTTATACAACGACATTTACGTCAATTTGTTAATGAATCTAATGGTAATGGTGTTGTTGCACCATCACCATCGCCTGATCACCAAATTCATCGATCTTCGGTGACTAAAACTTCTACAAATTCTTCCGATCGTACCCCTTCATCAGTATTCGTTTTGAAAGATTCAAATGGAAATAAAATTGATTCTATTAGACCAAGAGCATTGTTCAGGTATGTAATCTAATGATGATTGATCATTGATAATTGATATTATTTTTCTCATTGTAAACAGTGAAATGAGTGATGGAAACAAAAAAGATCCACTGACTTTATTGGTACGTGGTGGTGGCTCTAGACGAAATGCTCTACTTAAATGGTGTAAAAATAAAACGCTCAACTATCGTGACATTGATATTACGAATTTTTCATCATCATGGAATGATGGTATGGCATTTTGTGCCATTTTACATACATATTTACCCGATAAAATACCCTACGAAACTTTAAAACCGGATGATAAAAAACGTAATTTTACGATTGCATTCAAAGCAGCCGAATCGGTCGGTATACCGACAACGTTGGATCTCAACGAAATGTTAGCACAGGAACGACCTGATTGGCATAAGATTATTGCCTATGTTACATCAATCTATAGCCATTTTGAAACATAACATTTTTTTATATTTTTTTCAAAATCTTTTTTTTTCACTTGAAATTTCAAACATAAAATTAAACTATGATATTATATAGAAAAAATGTAATAAAAAATATTTAATGAATTCGCATATATGAGAGGATCGTGATGAGAATGTCAGATAAACAAATGTGCCAGGTCTATGATTTGAATGAGTGATTTAATCATATGAAAATAATGAGATTCAACGTTGATGATTTTGGAGGGTTGATTTATTTATGAAATTTTGTCCATTAAATTCAAATTTAAACATCACATTCATTATCCGATTCTTGTTCGACGGTACGATCACCCGTTGATTTAACGAAAAATGCCATTATGGAAGATATGATGAGTAATATGCCAGATGCTGCAAATGTTATGTGATAGGATTGTGTCATATCGAATAATGCGCCTATAAATAAAATAAATTAAAACAATAAACCAAATCAATTGATATACAAAACATACCAGCTAATGGAGGTCCAATTAATGAAGCAGCACCACGAAACAAACATAACAAACCGAATGCATTAGTCAATCTTTCTAGGCCAAGCATATCGACCAAAATAACCGAAGTTAAACAAATATATGCAGCTGAGGAATAGCACAAAAAAAATATAAGATTAACTTGAAAACAAAACAAAAAATCAAGTTAATCATTAACTTACAGATAAAAAGACCGAATAGAACACAATCGATAATAACAGCAAAATAGGTTGTACAGTATGGCGCTGCAATGACAGACAAACCGGACAATATAACACAAATATTATTCAAATCTAAAGCGGTAATTTTCAATCCACATAAAGATCCATTTCTGGCAATATGATCAGTTAAAAAACCAAACAATAGACGACCAAATGTATTGGTGATGCCAATGACTGAGATTAGAATGGCAGATTGGTCTGGCGTCACTAATTTATCACCGGCTAAAAAAAATATAGTGATTGACAAACAACATTAATAGATTGAATGACAAATAAAACCAAGAGATACACTTACACATGACCGAACTGGTAGCAAATTGAGTAATGTAAACAAATGGTACATAGAATCCCATCATACCGAAAATGTTTGAAATAGCCAAAATGGTGAATGCATTACTATCACGAAGTAAAGAAAAATCTAACATTTCATTAAGGATCGATTTCATTGATGGCGGAAGTAAGTTAAGTGATCGATTCCAGCAGCCTTGTTTTTCCTGTAGATTATCATCATTTGGTTGTTGTTGTTGTTGTTGTTGCTGAAATTTTCGTTGTTTTAAGGAATTCATTTCTGAACAGCAGTCGCCCGTTTCATTTTGATCATCAATATTGTTATTACCATTGTTCAAATGTTGATGTTGTTGATTATGTTGACAGCAATTATCTTTGAACGAACATAATACTCTCAATATTTTATCACAAACATTTTTCTTTTGGTATGATGACATTTTTAAGCCATCGTCATCATCATCGGCTCCGCCAGCTTCTTGTTGTTGAATTTGTTTTTGGACCTTGGCAATAATATCTCTGGCAGGAATTGAAACAATCGATTGACCAATGTTGACTCCAGATTCGGCTAAATGTTGCATCGAACTTGGTGCATGTAATGTAGAGCCTGAATAAAAAATATCTTTTTTTGATAATGGCCGAACTGGTATAGCTTGAATTGTAATGGTTCGTTTATCTTTTGATTCTTCCGGTGATAAACTAGCGCCTGCAGGTGTTGAAGATAATATTACTTGAATAGGCAATTGACCACTAGTACCCATTCCATTTATTTGTGGCAATAATGATGATGATGGTAGACAATTAGATGAATCGACTGTTTGACCACTTTCGGAAACAGTTCTTACAGTTGAACGACGACTACGTGGATGTAATACAAAATTACTTGCCATAGTATATGATCTAATATGACTGATTTCGGATAAAGGTGATTGAGGTAATGTTGAAGGTGATTCTGGTGCTGCTGATGTTGGTGTAGTCATTTCGGATTTAGCATCATCTTCTTCTTCTTCATCATTATCATCATTATTATCAGTACTATAATCAGATGCTACAGCACCAGCAGCATCGGCAACAGCATTAGGTATTTTTTTATTATCACATTCATTATTACTTTTATCATCTTGTTCTTGTGATTGTTCATCATTTGGCTGTTGTTCAACATCGACATTTGTTTCTTTATCATTCTCTTTGATCGTTATATTTTCACCCGATGAATCTTCCGATGAATTAACACTAAATATTTTTTTCGATTCAATAATAGGTGATAGTTGATGTTTTTGATCTGTACATAATTGTGATTGTGATTGTGTTGTAGATGGACATGTCGATGTTTGTTGTTGTTGTTGATGATGATCTTTATTATTCTGATTATGAATAGCTACCGATGGTGTAGGTGTTTGTGGTTGAGGTGTTGGCGGTTGAAATAATTGATCAAGATATAATGTTGAATGAACACCTGGTTCCATATTCATTGAATTAAGACGATTTTTTAGTTCAGTAAATGTCAGATCATTAAGATCTAGGCTACCATGTTGCATCATTAATAAAAATTGTGAATTTGAATGTGCTAATAAACGACGACGTTTTTCTTCAGCAATTCGTTGCAATAATGGTTTCCTTAATTCAGAATTATCCAATATTTCTTGATTATCAATATCATCACCTTCACCTAATACAGTTTTGGCATGAACATTTAATGGTCGCATTAGGCCACCAAAACCAGCACATAATAGAATCATAAATGCTAATATAAGCAATGTATTTTGCCATGTTGTAACACCTAATAAATATTGACAGAATGGTGCAAACAGGAATGTACCAACACCGGAACCACAAACAGCAATACCGGTAGCGAATGCACGTTTTGTTGTAAAATAATAACCAACCGAAACAATTGCGGGTAAAAATATCATACCCATACCGACACCACCTTTATTTAAATTAATCAAATTTATTATTTCAACAAGTTAATTAAATAAGTAACTTACCAAAGAAACCATATGTTATATACAATGTTTCAATATTCGGTGCAATTGTTGATAATGAAAATGCCAAGAATGCAATTATTGCACCCATTATTGTGACAATACGACAACCAAACCGATTGGCTAATGCACTTACAAGAGGTCCTAATCATAATGAATAAATAAATTTTAATTATCAAGAATAAATACCGATTGAACAAAAAACATACCGACACTAAGATAGAATCCATTCAATATGGATCCACATAAGGCAACTTTACTTTTGCTAACACCAAAATGTGCAACAAATATTTCGAAAAACAAACCAAATGTATAGGCAATACCATCAACAATAAGATTACAGAAAAATGATGCCATAACAACTACCCAACCATAACCACCATCCGGTGCTGGATCCTGTATAAGAATATGTGGTTCATCAAATTCATCTTCAATAATCATCTGTGGTGTAAAAGTTCCATCTTGTTGTGGTTGTTGTTGTTGTTGTCGATCATCAACATCAACTAATTCACGATCTTCAGGAATAGCAGATAATTGTTGTACTGAGGTATGTTGTAATGAGATCTTTGAATCACCACTAATCGATAATAAAACTGAATGATAAAGTGGTAATGATGTGTTACCTGTATGATGAATGAATGAATCATCATTTAAAAACAAGAAAAAAATCAATAAAAAAAATATTGCAAATAAAGATTTCTTGCAATTTCTGTATACAAGAACATTTCACAGCAATGATAAAATCATCGGTGAATGTACCCTAAACAAAATAAGCTTATTTTGATTTAGCATTTTTGATGATGATGATAAAAACTAGCTAGCTAAGAATAAAATAAACAAACTAAGTGTGCGTAAAATATTTCCGGTAAAAACAAAAATATTTAGAGTTCATTAACACTAATTTAAGACTCTCTTCTATTCTCTAAAATGAATGATTCTTCAGAGAATATTCTTTTATTATCCGGATAAAGATGTTTAAAAAAAAATCAAGGAAACAACAACAAAAAAACTTACTATTTGACGGTGTACCGGCGTGTGGAGGCATTTTTCAATCACTTTTCGTCGTTTGTTGTTTGTTGAAAATATTTTTGCAATTAAAATAGACACACAGGGATCAATAAATTGAGATCAAATCAAAGCAACAACAGCAGTAGTAGAAAAAAAATGAAATTTGAAAAAATATCTAGTTAATTAGTTGATCGGTTGATTTGATTGATTGATTGATCAATTTAATCGTTGTTTATCGAACAATATGAAATATGATAACAGGATCTTCAATTTACTGATTTACGGATTTGAAATCAGATTACATTTTTATTTCGAAAAAACACTAGATAAAGTTTTTTATAAAAAAATTGTAATTAAAATTTCAAATTAAAAAATTTGAATATAAAAAAATCTGTCAAACAACATGAATGATTGAAAGACAAACTATGAAATGAAACAAAAAAAAATGTGAAAAATGTAAATTTTCATTCGAAGAAATTATTTATCAAATTAAGAAAAAGAAAAAAAATCTTATCATCATCATCATCATTAAAAAAAGCTTTTTGTTTTGATTGACAGCCAAGAAACAAACAAACAAACAATGTAAATAAGATGATGATGATTAAAAATGTGACCAGAAATAGTACAATGACCAGAGAGAAAAATATGACATCGAATGATGATGATGATACTGAAAAACCCGATGAAAGAACCGAAAAAAAAGTAAGGAAGTAATTTTTTTTCATAAGCAAAGAAAAAAAAATGACAGGCAAAAGATTTTCTTCTTCGGAAGAAAAGTTCAAACCTATCAATCAAATCAATCAATCAATCAATGGGAAAAAAAACAAATTCAAATTCAGAAAAAATTCCATAATTTTTTTTTTAGTCGTTGAAAACACCAAAAAAAAACATTTTTCTTCCTTGGAAAATTTCTTTTTAATTTGTCAGAGAAATTATTTTTTTTGTCAAATCATTTTGAAATAAACCACAAAACAAAACACAAATCAAAATCAAAACAGATATTTTTTTTGTCATTCATACAATATTCATAACCAAAGGTATAAAGAAAAGAAAAGAGTAAGAGAAACCCACTTTGGTAGAAAAGAAAAATACATAATTCATAAATCAAAAAAAAAATTTCAATGATAAATTGGGAAATAATAATGATGTGAACAACAAAACGATGATGATGATAACAATGTCAAACACATAATGTGTTTTTAGAGAAAAATTATGGAAATTCCAATGATGATGATGATGAAAACCAGATGGATTTTTTCGAATGAAATAAAAATCAGAATCAATCGATGATCGATGATGAAATCATCGAAAAAAAATACACATCCTATTTCAAACAACAAAATGAAATTATTTCATTTTGTTGTTGGCAGAACAAACATAACAAGGATATTATCATCATAGAAGAAGAAATAAATCAAAACAAACTCCATATATAAATGATATTGACCAGGAGGGGAAAATTCCACAATAACAACAACAGAAAAAGATTGGATTTTCAGAAGACAAAAAAAACGAATGTCATTCGAGAAAAAACGACAAACGACAATGACAATGATGAGGTGGGTGGATGGATGGATGGATGGGGTGTCTGATCGTATTTTGGCTTACCAAATGGAAAGCCAAAAATAATAATATTCATAAACGAATCAAAGATAATCATCATCATCATCATCATTCAGTAGCAAACAAATAGAAAACAAAAAAAAAAGTCAACGACAAATTCATTCATCACGGTGATGATGAATGATGATGATAAAAAACAACATTGAAACAAACAAAAAGTAAAATGTAAATGTAGATAATAATAATAATTTTGGTTGATCAAATCTGAATTCGACAGTAAAAGGAGAGGAAAGAAAAATTACAGTACATTTTTTAATTACAAAATGAAGATTTTTCTCTTTAAAGTTTTTATTTTAGTTTTCTAAACGTAGAGAATCAAAAAAAAAAATTAGACACAATCATCATCATCGATGGATGTACGTTTGAAATGATGAAATGATTTTTTTTTTGTAAAATAAAAAAAACTATTTCAACGGAAATGGTTGCTGTTTTTTTTTTCATATTTCTCTCTCTCTCTCTCTCTCTCTCTCTCTCTCTCTCTCTCTCAGACACAACAACAACAACAACAACAATTGCAATGATGATTGAAAAAAAAATTCAAGGTTCCACAAACCAAAAAAAAAAAAAATCAAAATCAAACGATCCGAAACAAGCAATCAGAAAGAGAGATAGGGAGAGAGAGAGAGAGAAACAAGACAAGGGTTATTATAATTACTTTTACTTTCACTTCAAAATAAATAAATAAAACATTCGATTGTTGTTGTTGTTAATGGTTGAAAGAGTTGAAAGAGTCTAAAACAAAACATAAAAAGATAATTAATTATCTTTTATGATCCGATGATCGATTATGGAATGAAATTTGATTGATTTAATCAATTTATTACGAATATTTTTCATTTTTTCTTATTACAATTGTTGCTATGGGCTATGGTCTTTTTCAAACAAGATTGATATCAAGATTGTTAATCGTGTGATTGTTAAATAAGAGGGAAAATATTTTCAAACAAAAAAAAATCAAGATAATTAAAGGTTTAGTTTGTTTGTTTTTATTTTTGAAAAAAAACCCAAACAACAAAGCCAGAATTCTTGATTATCTTTGCATGTTGATGGATATTAGATTACGATACATAAATCATATCATAATTATAATAATGATCGATTATCGAACAGAGAAACATAAATAAATTTAAAAAAAAAAATTCAAAAATAAATCAAAAAGATGTTATTTATGATGATGATGATGATGATTGAGTAATATGATCACCATCATCATCATTATTATGGATGAAATAATTTGAATAAAAACAAAATAGGTACCTACACATTTCATTTCGTAAAATAAACATTAAAAAAAATTGTACATTCACATCATTTATCATTTGATCATTATCATTACAAACACACACACATACAGACAAACACAAGGTTATCACCAACAAACACATCCATTAAATCGAATCATCGAATCAATAAATCAGAATGAAAATTACAATGGAAAGAATTTGAATTGTCAAATTTCTTGTCAAATACACACACACACACACACACACCCTTTCCATTTAAAACAAACATTTGAAAAGAGAGAAAACAAAACAGAATTTTGATGACAAAAATTTTCTGGAACTTACTCGAAAACAAACAAAGTGTTGAATGAAATGAAATGAAATTTCGTTTTGTTGATTAGACACACAAACAAACATTTTTTTTGCAAGAATTTCAAAAACAAAACAAAAAAAACCGTTTTTTCGTTTGAGTAAATAATTGTTGTTCGTTGGTTCGTTTGTTGTTGTTTGAATTGACAAAACTCAAGTTAAAATTATTATTATTATTTTCAAACAATCAACCAAAATCGAATGATGATTACATAAGAAAGAAAAAATTCACAACACAAAAACATGTGTGTGTGTGTGGAGAGAGAAGAAAAAAAGGTGAAATTTTCAGATTACAAAGATAAAAATTGATTGATTGATCAAACGATGATTCTTATGATCATTTTATGATGATGTTTTTTTTTGGTTTTAGAGTAGAGAATTTTTTTTAGATGAAATATAAGCCTGTAGAACCTTAAACACAAACACACACACACCATTTAATAACTCATTCTGAGATTCACCAGAAAGAAATAATATTCTTTCTTCGGAAAAAAAACTGATGATGATGGTGGTGAAAAAACGAAGAAGCAAACAGAACAAAAAACTTAAAACACTTATTATATATGTTGAATCCGGGTAAAGAAAAGCCAGAAAAAGCTTGGTAAAATGAAATGAAATGAATGAAAGTTTACAAAAGTTGTATGCACACAGTATCTGTGTTTTACACACCAATACTCCTGTTGTTTGTTTTGTCGTTCTTTTGTCGTTTGTCGTTTGTTTTTTCGTTTTGGTTTGGTTTTTTTGGATATTCATCTATCATTTTTTGGACCACTAGGAATTATAAAAATGATGATGGTTGATGATGGGGGTATATCAACAATAACAACACACACAAAAGATATATATCGTTCGGTTCGGCTGGCTGTCAACGATGAATTTGCGACAAAATTGTAGAATATTCTTGTTGTTGTTATTTATTCGATGAAAAGATAAGAGAAAAAATATGATTTTGAAAGTTTGGCTGACTGGCTGTTTGTTTCTTCTGGAAATCAAAAATTTTTTTCGGCAAAAAGAAACCAAAACAAAAAATCGGATATGATCCAAAAATTAATGAGCCAGTTCGGTATACCCCTTTTTTTCAACTTTTTGTTTCGATTGACACATGCGCACACCCTCCTCGAACGAATATTGATAACCGTTGGTCCGTTGTCATTAAACGACGTATTTGATAAAATTTTCAAAAACCGGAAAAAGAATTTTTTGATTTAAATGAATTTTCAACAAAAAAAAAACGAAAATTAATGATCAAATGAATCGGATTATATTCAGGCCAGATTGCCGATCAGAAAAAAAAACTTTGTAGGCCAAAAAATTTAAATAAAAAAACAAAAAACAAAAAACAACCAAATGAAAGCCAGACGAACAGAAATTGAACAACGAAAAAAACCACTTCAAACCAGAATGAAGCGGTTTCATTGATGAAATAGAAAAAAAGGAGGGAGATAGTGAGGGAAAGTGAGAGTGATTTTAGCGAATACCATAATCTCCATTGCCTTTACTTTACCTCCCCAAATTATCATTGAACAACAACAACGACGACGACGACGATGAAAAAAACATCGTCATTTTGCCATCTGCCGATGAATGAAAATTGAATGGTTTGTTTCGAATTACGCAATCGCCGACAATATTTTTTTTTTAGTCATTCGTAAATGATCATGCGTCGTTCGAATCGAATGAAATTCGAATTCTTTCGCTGCAGAGAATCGGCGAATGATGAAAATTTGTGAAATTTTTTGAAATTTTTAAAAAATTATTTTTTTAATTTTAAAATTAAAATTAATGATGTAAGTGAGAAGAAGAAAAAAAACGAGAGGCATATGGTTGTATTTTTTGTTTTGTTTTTGATTTAAAAAAAAAATTATTTTTCCGATTGAATTTAAATCATTTTTGTACGATTATTAATAACATTATCGATCCATTCTAGATATGATGATGTTCGTGTATAAACATCTGGTGCACCAAACATACGACATGGTAATGAAAATGAAACAATACCGGTATGTATTGCACGCCGTTCATTATCATTCATATAGCTAATTAATGCTGAACCAGAATCACCTCTCATTGCACCCTAAATAATAGATTGATAAATGATAATTAATTAAATCAATCGATTATTGTCATAAATCAATAATAAATCAATATTACCGAACATCTTCCATATGTTGTAACACCGGCACAAATCATACGATCGGTTATCGGTATTCGTGAAACATTATATGTTTGACGACAATTATCCATTCGTACTACCGGTACACGAACTGCTTTCAATCGATCAGGTAAGAAATTTATAACTAAATTATCAGTTGTATAACCATAACCGGCAACAGTTACTGATTGGCCACCATTCATTTCATAATCATTTGATTTTGGTAAACATATTGGCCGTACACGTTGATTAAAAACAATCGGTTTGGTTAAACGTATCAATGCAATATCATTTTGTGCTCGACGTGAATTCCATTCTGGATGTATAATAATTTTCGATACCGGTATCATTTGTATATTTCTTTGAAATAATGTATAACGCCATCTATCGGTACCTAATACAATACGTAATTGTCCTGGCCACCATGAATTAATCAGACCATCAACACAATGTGCTGCTGTTATTAGATAATATTCATTAATAATTGATGCACCACAAATATGATGCCAATCAGGTATTGGTAATGGAAATAATAGACGAAGTTTTTGTAATGAACCATGCCATGGAAATTCTTCAATCAATACATCATGTCCACCAATTATACGTGGTTGACGTGGTGATTGTGCCGGTAATTCATGTATTGATCCGGAAATTCTATTATATGAACCACATTTTATCGGTATTGATCCATTTACCAGAAAAGTTGATTCTGTCGTCGTTGTCGTTGTCGATGTTGTCGATGACCCAAAAGGAAGACGATTATCATCAATTTGTTGTTGACCGGTAACAATCATTACCATCATCATTATTATCGTGAACGTTGTTTGTGTATTGATTATCATCATCATCATGGCCATTATTTGTCGAATGGTAGACATTTTTGTTTCAGATTGATTTGATTTGATTTGGATTTGGATTTGATGAAACTCAAAAGATGATCATCATTTTTATAGTCGAAAAAAAATGTACCACCACCAGCACCCTCCTGTTTAGTGACCAAAACGTTTCTTAAATTGGAACAACGAATATTTTCCTTTCTCCCGCTTCTCACTAACTAAACTCAAATGATGATGATTGGCGATGATTGAAAGTGAAAAATGAAAACAACATTGTCGCATTGAAAACAATGAAAATCATGCTAATTAATTTAAAAAAAAAATGTTAATTATGGTCATCAACAATCAACAGTCATTATCAATGGTGTTGACGTTGTGTTTGGTGTGTGTGTTCATAACACCAAAACACCGAAATCTATTTTTCATTCTATGATGATGGATGATAATCAGATCATCATCATCATCATCATACGATATTCCGGACGCATCTCTCAGCCTAGATTTTCTTTTCTTCTTTTTTTTATCGACAATTTTCAAACATGAAATGACCTGAAAACATTTCAAAACACAAATAGTGAAATGATACACCATCATCCTGCTACATTTATGTACCCATAATCACCCTCTATCACCTTGTTTTGTCTATATGTGTGTGTATGGTATGCTGTAAAAAAATTTGGCACACACATCGATTGCTAAACAAATCTAGGCCAATTCGTACGGAACTGAAAATATTGGAACGGAAATTTGATTTTTTTTTGAAAACGATAATGTTTTTGCCTTAAAGATTGTCTTTGTGTCTTTCTTCACTCATTGCTTCAACGAAGAAGAATAATAATCCAAAAAACAACAATTCATCGGCGTCATCATTTTGGCTTTTTTTTTCTTTTCTTGGCAATGTAATGAATTTATTGGTTGCCAAGAAAACGAATAAAGAATAACGAATAATAATAATCAACCGAATCATGACGAAAACATCTTCGTTTCTGTCCTAAATTCTTTCTTCAAATTGTTTTTGTTGTTTCACTTTTTTTTCAAGCTTCTTGATAATATTCGTTGTGCCTTTGCATTGATTCTTTTTTACCCTTTTTTGCTCTCTTCAATGAACCAAATGACCATGAAATATTTTTTTCGAATGAATCAATAGTTTGTGAAAAAAAATCATCAACAACAACAAAACGAAATAATGGAACGACCACAATTAAAAGCTGATTATATTGAAAAAATTGAAATACAAAATGAAGATTTAATACCAAAAAGTCAATGGTTTAAATGTATAAAATTTACATTGATATCATTAATATTATCATTGATAATAATAGCAATTATTGCAATAATTGTTGCTGAATCATTTTTAGAACGTTCATATCTTGCTGTTGGAATTATTTCGTTGGTAAGTTTGTTTGAAAAATTAATCAAATTTCTAATTAATTAATCAATCATTCAATAGTTGGGTATCATTCTATTCGTAATTGGTTTGATTGCCATCATCAAAGAACATATAACATCAATATTAATATTTGCCGTATCAATGATATTCTATTTGTTGTTGTTAATGTATTCAAGAATATTCGATACAGCTGGTTGGATTATTTTTCGTACATTTATATTGGCCGGTCTGATTCTTCTAACAATAATATATTGTATATTGATACGTGATTGGAGACAGCTACAAGTATCACGTTTAAGACAACGTGCAATTAAAGAAGTTAAACAACAATATGGTTTATCAATGTCATCACCTTATCGACAACAATCAATTATTAATGATAATCGTTATTATTTACCACAACATTTACAACCAACAACAATAAATTATCATCCACAACAACATCAACAACATCCAAATCATCAATATGAACAGATTGATAATATTTATTCACAGATTGGACCTTCAACATCATCATATCCGCATCGTCAACAACATCCGCATCGCCAACAACATCATTCACCTGCATCCCGAACATCTTCAAATATTCGTCAAACACCTGGAGTTGTTCTAACTACTTATCATAATTGATTAAGAACGAAAGGCTTAAATCATCATCATCATTGAGCATCATTTAATCTAATTTTTCTGGAGTATTTTTTGTAATAACATCAAATCAATGGAAGACAGCAAACAAAACAAAGAGATATTGATTGAATTTTTTTCGTTCAAAACAATCAAAATTAAATATTTCAAACATGCATTAATTTTGCAATAACCAATTCAACCGATTCCAATACCGATTCGATCGATTTTTCACCATCAATTTTAGCCAATTTTGGTTTTAAATATTCTAAAATTGGATCCGAATTTGAATGAAATATTTGTAAACGTTTTTTAATTGTTTCAACATTATCATCCACACGGCCACTAGTTTTACCACGATTTATTAAACGTTCCATCATAACTGTATCCGAACAATGAAAATATAAAACCAATGAACATGGGGCGATTTGTTTTTCAAATTCAATTGCTTGATTTATTTCTCTTGGATAACCATCGATAAGAAATCCTTTAGATTTTGAAAGATTTTTTTCAATTGATCGTTTTAATAAATTCAATACATGTTGATTTGATACTAATTTTCCTGATTGCATAATTTGATTTAATTCTTTACCCAATTCAGAACCGGATGCAACTTCATCACGAAGTAAATCACCTGTTGATAAATGCGTAAATCCATATCTTTGGTAAAAAACAACGTTTTTTAGTTTTTTCAATGTGGAATGTTTTGGAAAAAAAACTTACTTGGTTTTTAATCGTTCACAAATAGTACCTTTTCCCGAACCAGGACCACCAATAACAAATATAATTATCGGTTTGGATGATTTTGTCGATGTCGATGATGGTGCCATCATTAATGACGTTATCAATCTATTATTATCAACGTTATTATTATTATCGGTTGTAAATGGGAAAAAATTTGCTTCAATTAATAAAATTATTATAATGATAATTATTATGAATGAAAATGAAATTTTTGCTGAATTAAATTGTAATTTGAAAGAAAATTAATTAATCAAGATTTAATCAACAAAGTTGGTTGTTCAACAGAAAGATGATTCTACCACCATTGAAAAAACCTACGATCTAAGATGATGAAATTTTTTTGTTCGTTCGAAATCTAAATAACAGCTACCATTAAGACTATTTTTTTGTGTCTTTTGCGACTCGACAAGACCTTTAGCTAACCTTTTTTTTTGTTGTCGTTTTACGGACGAATTTCAGCTATTTATAAATGAAAAATTCTACAATGCAAAGATCATGTGTTTGTGTATTGTTGAGTAGAATATCGTGTTGTTGGCAAGAAAAAAATCATCAACATATTCGTTCGGTGGGATCTTTTTTCTTTCTTTGTTTTGTTTAGAATTTTCGAATTTTTTCGAGTTTTTGTTTTGTTGTTTTTTCACAAATCTTACATACTTACTTGGATGATCTTTTACGCAACGAAATTTGTCCTTTCGAAAAAGACCTTTGGGATTTTTTTCTTTTATTGAGTTCCATGATGGTGATGCTATATAATCCTTGGATTCCAAAAACAGCCAAATAAAAAAAAGGATAAACTATTCTTTACGTCATTTATGAACGGACATTTTCAAAATGAAATAATTTTTTGTTTTTTTTCCGTGAATTTCGAGAATTTGCAATTTTTCATATATGACATCATCCTAATTATTAATCATCATCATTTTCGAAATTTTCGAAATTTTAATTAAAAGGAAATCGAAAAACAAACAAACAAACAAAATGTAAACATTATCTCATCCGAATGATTGAATACCGGGGGAAAAAAAAATTGTTTGAAAAAAAACTGTTTATACAGTGCAGGTATTCAGGTGTGTAAACAATTTTTTTTTTCGAAAAAAAAAATGTTCGAATCATTTTGTTCGTGTAAACACACATCTCATGATTCGAATTTCGTAAAACATTTTTTTTTCATGGTAATTTTTCAATTTGAATTTTTTTAAAAATTTTCTAAAATTTCACAAAAAAAAACAAATGTTGTTTCCCAATCTTTCTTTTTTGTCATTGAAAATTCATTTATTCTATTTTGATTCTATTTTTATCCATTCAACCCAGCCAACCAACCAACCAACCAACCAACCAACCCAGCCAAAGTCAAATTTTTTTTATTCTTACAATTCGAAGAACATTCAACATTTTCATTCCAATGTCTTTATCATGATCATCATTATTCTGATGTCATCTAACTGATGATGACAAACAAAAAAAAATATGTTTGAACATGCAAACATGAATTTTGTTTTAGCCAAAATATATCGAATAAACGAACGAATTTTACTGCTACCACCAACCATTATTACGGTTACCACCACGATCATCATCAAGGTTTGTTGTTGTTGTTTGTTAATGATGTTAACAAAATCAACAAATAACAATGATGATGATGATATCATCCTAATGATCTCAATATCGGATCATCATTATTATTGAAAAAAGAGATAGGATGTTTATATTATTATGGTAATAATTTTCGATTTCCGATTTGAAAATCCTGTTTTTCTTTTTTCTTTTTTTTTCACAAAATAAAATTTCCAGGTAGTCCAGGTGACATAGTTGACAATATTAGGATTATATTCATTATAGTCACCTGGACATCATCATTAATGTCAACAAAAAGTTTTTCATTTTGACTTTTGGCAGCTTGATTTTTTTCCTATGTGACATTTGTTTTATCATCACTACTTCTCATCATCATCAACATCAACACCAAACATCAACACCGACAACCGTTCGAATTGATTTGATTTGAAAATGAAAATGTTTTTATTATTATTTTTCAAATGAATATTGTTTGTTATTGTTATTGTTGTCAATGCCAAGGACTATTCAGATCATCATCATCATTCAAATTTTTATACATTAACATCATCGATTTTGTCAAGCTCAAGGCATCATGTTTTCAACAAAACGAGAGAGAAGAGAAATGTTCAAATTTTCATGTGATGATCAAATTTTTGAAATTTGAATTTTAAATTTTTTGTTTTTCGAAAATTTCGAACTCAAAACAACAACCAAACAAACACACAATTTTCATATTTTTCATCCAGAAAAATCTTCGTTTCTTTCAAGTTTAAAATTAATTTTCGTTCGTTCGGTTTTTTGTTTTTCCACTGAATCATTCCCTTCATCGATCAATCAAATTTCATTTGATTTTTGACTTTGTTAAAGGTGTAATACAGGTTAGATTTTTTACAAAATCATTAATTAATTAATTAAATAATAATGATCAATGTAACAACAGCAACAAACTAAACATCGAAGTAAGTAAGTAATAAGTAAACTTTTTCTAATCAATAAGTGATCAATGGACGCCTATGAAATCACGTATTATGCACTATAGTCGATAATCGATGATAATAGATAATTTATATATAGATAGTGAGAATAATATAAAACAAAGTGATTATTTGATGATTAATTCATTCTTTTTCGGTTTTGTTTGTTTGTTGTTGTTTTCTTTATTTATTTTTAGATTTTCCAATCAAGTTTTGTGAATATATTGTGGTCATATAGGAATCTCTCTTCATTTGTGTCTGTGTGCGTATGAAAAAAAATGTCGATACAGAATAATTTATCATTACAAAATCATGATAATAATCATCAACATCAACATACAAATGGTAGTTCAAAAAATCATAATCAATCTGAACAATCAATAAAATTATCAACAATTGATGATGATGATGATTTAGATAAATCAATAATAAAATTAAATGGTCATCCAAATTTAACTAATGCGACAACAACAACAATGATTAATAATAATAATAATAATACTAATACAAAGATAAATGGTGATTTAAGTATGATACCAATCAATGATCAATGTTCAGCAACAACAACAACAACAACAGTAAATAATTATGATGATAATAATCGTAATGGTAAAAAACAACCACGTTATTCAATACATTCAATGACAATTAGTCAGAAAAGTGATTTTGTTAATCGTACGAAAAAATTTTTAAAAGGAATTTGTTTAACAATTCTTTCTGGATTATTTTTTTCATTAACAACATTGGTTGTTAAATATGTTAAAGATGTTAGTCCAGGTACAACGGCTGGTTTTCGTTATTTTGGTAAGACTATTTTCGTGATCAATTTTTTCATTGCTGTTTTTTTCTCATCGAATTTTCTTTTTCCCTTAGGAATCATAATTCTATCATTTCCATTGGCATTAGAATCACCACAGCCATTATTTGGTTGTTCCGGTACATATTTATGGATTGCATTACGTGGTTTGGCTGGTGGTACCAGTGTATTTTGTCGTTATTCAGCATTACATTATATGTCAATGGCCGATTCTACTATTATCATTTTATCGATGCCTGTTTTTGTATTTGTTTTTGCAAGAATATTTCTTAAAGAACATTTTGGTCCTTATCATGTACTGGCATTTTGCATGTCTATTATTGGTATCGTTTTTGCATCAAAATTAGAATTTATATTTGGTAAATCTGTACAACAGGAAAATCATCCAATCTTGAACACAACAACAACAATTATTACCACAACTACAATGGCCACAACTGCTAATTTCTCAAATAACAATGAAACAATGGATAAAACATCTTCAGTTTTAAGTGATCAATTAATTGGAACATTATTTAGTCTTGGTGCAACACTCGTCGGTTGTTTTGTCTATGTTATCATTCGAAAGGTTAGTCGAATCGACATTTGTTGACAACAAAAAATATTAATTCAAATTTTTTCCCTCGGTATCAATAGCTCAAAGATGTTGATAAATATGTGATTTTATTCAATTTTTCCATTATATCAATGATCGAAATGGTTATAATTGATTATCTTTTCTTTGATATTCAATTACCAACAGAAGGTTATACACCATATCTAATATTTTTAATTGGTATATTATCATTTTATGCACAATTATTATTAACACGTGCCATACAGATTGAAGAAGCTGGTGTTGTTTCGGTAATACGAACAAGTAGTGAAGTAAGATTGATTGGAAACTACCATCATTTTCCCAACGAAAAAATAATTTTTACTTTTGTTTTTTACAGGCATTTTTTGCATTCATATTGCAGATAATATTTTTTCAACAAATACCCGATATATTTACAATAATTGGTGCAATATTAGTATTAAGTGCCGTATTTTTGTTATCATTTCGTAAATATATAATTGGATTACCGGATAATCATCCAATGCGTATACGTTTTGCATTTCTTTCCAAATAATAATTACAATAATCATCATCATCATTATCAAATTAATCATCGAAATAATGAAATGAAAATAATTTTATATTGATACCCCAATTTTTGATATACACAAATTCATTCATTTTTTTGGCAGCAATCAATCCAATAGTGTTCGTCTGTGTGTGTTTGTATATGAGTGATATAAATTATTTTTGATTTACTAAAAAATATTTATATTTTTGTTTTATGTTGAAGAGAAAAATATTATATCATTTTTATCATAGGTTATTTTGAAAACAAAACAAAAAAATTAAAATTTGAATGAAGATTCATTCAGACTTTGTGTGTGTTTTTTTTTGTTCATAATAAAAGAAAATAAAGTTTATTTTTAATTCTTGAATGTTCAGGTAATGATAATAACCATTTACGCATTGCTGTCAATACAATACAACTTGATACAACTAAGGCACCAAAAATTGACCATAAATCTGGTATTTCATTGAATATAATCAATTGCCATAAAAATGCTAATGTAATATCGGTTGTAGCACGTACAACTGATACTGGACCAGCTTGTTCTAGCTGTAATGAACGTGTTAAAAGCATCTGGCCACAAAATGAAAATACAGCCAAAACAACAATTAAATACCATTCGAATGGTGTACGTGGCATTGAAAAACCATTTAATAATGTTGTTAATATTGTTGTTTCAATAATAGCAACCCAACCAAAATTAAACATAATCACAGAATGATGTACATTTTTTGCTTTACGAATCAATATGAAAACTGATGATGAAAATATTAATGAACTTAATGCAGCTAATACACCATATAAATGATTAAGACGATCATTATTTTCTGTTATCATGTTTGTTGATGATGTCATGTTATTTGAATCAATCATCATTGATGACGATGATATGTTTCTATTATTATTATTAGCCATATTCATAAACATTGATGATGTTGATGACCATGATGGATGATAATAATTATAATATTGATTATTATCATTAAATGATGAAAAAAATATTGGTAATTTTGTTGTCATTATCAGGCCAATCATTGCTATTATGATGGTTAATGTATGAAACAGTCCACATGGTTCCTAATTTGAATAATTAGATTTTTGGTTGGAAATATTTTCAAAAAAATCAAACAGCAAATTACCTTAAGATAAAACCATGCAAATATTGAAACAAATATTGGTACGGAAAATATAATAACCGATGCATCAGCTATGGAAAGATAATGAAATGCAATAAAACGTAAAAATAATGATGTTGCACCAGCTATACCACGCATTATTAATATTGGTCGTAATTCCGTTGGGCCAAATGGATTTTGATCATGATAAACAATTAACGGTATGGTCAATATGAATATGCCGAAAAAACGTGATACAGCCAATTGACCAGGATGAATGTCCTAATGAACAAAAAAAAAAGTTTTAAAAATCAAAAAGTTAGAAAACGAAAACAAACAAAAAACAAACCTTAAGATATTTAACAATAACAGCTGATAATGAAAAGAAAACCGATGATAATGATGAATAAAATATTCCTTTATATAATGCAAAATTACAACCATGGTTCATTGTTGTTTCATTATGGAAATTATTTTTCTTAAAATTCTGACTAGATTCTATATCATCCGAATCATAGAATTGATTTTCCGTTTTTAAATGATGATTCAGATGGACCAATCTTTGTGTTTCATCACAACAACTATTCAATGATCCGGATAAATGATGATTGATTGTGGATTTTTCCGAATGAATTGAATCCATTATTACCGATTGGATCGATGATGAATTTGATGAATTTAATTTATGAAATTTTTGTGAATTTCGATCACGAAATTCAATAAATAATGGATCACTTAATATTGTACCGCCACGATAATCGAAACTACTGTTAAATTGATTCCAATTTGAACGAAATGATGATTTTTTTGTTTTGTTTGTAAAATTTTCATTATCATCATCATCATTGTCAAATCGAATGTTTGTTATTGAATAATCGAATGACTTTGATGTTCGGATGGTTGATGATGTGTTTGTCCACGACGACAATGACGACGATGACGATGGCGACGATGGTGGTGGCGGTGAATGAGACTTGAATGTAATTGAATGATTCATTCAGATAGCATCGTTTTTTGTTGCTGGAACGGCTTTGGATATATGAATTGAATGTAAGAACACAGAATTCAGGCACAAAACAAAGAACAAAACGAAGAAGAATTGAGAAGAAGCGAGCAAAGAAAAAAGAGAGACGCCAACAACAATAACAAAAAAAAGTGTTTTTCTAATTCTGACAAAGAATCGACGATAACAATAATAATGAAAACGTTTCTTGGAATAAATATGATGTAGAATATTCTTGAATTTTCATATCTTTCTTTCTCGTCGATCATATATAGAATGGATGGATGGAGCTATCGATCGATAACAATTATTATCATTTATAATATGAATTTTTCAATATGAAAAAAAAGAAAGAAAGAATATCTTTTATATTCTAAGATGAATGGAATTCGAAGGGACAAAAACAGAAACAGAATCGATCCAAACAAAGCGAAGAATATTTGCGAAAAAAAATATGAAATTCTATAGTCAATTTCAATTGAATTCTTTTCTCTTTCTTTGTTTTGTTGTTGTGGATATTCAATATTCAATTCAGAATTCAATGATGAATGTGAATAATTCTGACAAACAGACAATTGATTATTATTATGATTATTTTGAATTCAAGTGAATGAAAAATAAAAACTTTAAGGAATTTACATCTCTCCTGAGTCAACAGTAGTACCAAACAAATGAATGATGATCACCAATTGTTGTTGTTGTTATTGTGAAATATTGAATTCTCAAATTGATTTTATGCATATTTGAACAGCAATGGATTCTATTCTTTTAAAATACACAAACACACACCACACTTTATTCAATAATAATAATTCTATAGAATCCAATTCTTGTGGAGTTTAGAATTCACTTCACTCACAAACAAACATTCACAATGGCAACCATTCTATATATAAGAAATGGATATTATAAATCGATGGCAACCACCGCCACCGTCACCGTCATTTATCGACGTTTTTCCTTTTAAAATTGAATCCAGGCGCAAACGCTTACGATTTTTGTCTGTGCGCTCTATCGGAATATAAATCCAAAACAACAACATTTTTCCATTGGCTGCTGTTTTGTAAAAAGTTTTAAAACACAGGATGTAAACGCGAGAGAAAACGAACGACAAAGATAAAAATTAAAATAATGAGGATGACCATGAACGACAAAACACATTATAGATTTCCTTTCAAAAGGAAAAAATTATTTATTTTCAAAAAAAATTTTTTAGTTCAAAAAATATAAATGTGGATAAGATTATAATTATGATGATGATAATGATGATGAATAATGAAATAAAATCTTTGTTTGTTTTATAAATTGAATAAAATTGATGAAAAATTATGAGAGATCTGGCCAAAAATGTTTTTCAAAAAAATGGCTAAATATGATAGTATCGATACTATCGATTAATTGATTGATTGATTTAAACAACTGATTGTTTGGCAAAAATATCAAAATTTGGTGGTTCATTACGATTTCTTGTTGGTTGTTGTTGTTGTTGTGATGGAAAAGTTGTTGTTGTTGTTGAAATAATACCATCCTGTTGATCATCGATTCTCATTTCAACAAAATCATTATCATTATTTGAATTATTCAGATAACGATTATCATGATGATGTGATTTCAAAATGATTTGATTATTAATACCATTTTGTTTTTTTATTTTACCATCCATTCGGGAATCATTATCATTATCATCATCTTCTTCATCATTATTCGATTGTTTTTTCTGATAATTAATATCTAAACGTTGTTTTTGTTTTGCATATCTAAATATTAGATAGAAAAAAATTGATCACTTTATTAGTAAAATTGATTTCATTAAATCTTACCTGATTAAAATGGATGCAATAATTATTGCCCATAATAATACGATCAAAAATATAACCAAACCTAAATTGCTTATAGTTTTTGATAATGAACTTGATTCCTTTGATGGTTTCATCGTTTTACCCGAATTATCATCATTTATTAGTGATTCATTTTTTGGATGATTATGATGATGATGATTTAAATGTAATGGTAATATTGTTTGATTATAAATTTTAGATTCATTGATTTGTTGATGGATTGATTGACAACTACCATTTTGATGTAGATGATAATCTTTTCGACATTGACAAATAGGATAACCATGTTTATTATCATAACGACAATCGGAATTCGTATCCAAAGCCAAACATTGTTCATCGATTAAACATTGTTTTGAATCACCGATAGTAATCGGTTGAATACAAATTGTTCGAATAGAATTGAGGTCAGCAATCCATGTTGTTACATTCAAATAACCATGTTTACATTGACATTTTGTTGTTGTTGTTGTTGATATTTGTCGTTGTCGTCGTCCTCGACGTTGTTGTTGACGATCATCATTCGATTTTGAACATTGCATATTTGTTGGACATTCTTCTTCCGAACCGATTCGACATGAATCACCATAGTTTAATACTGGATCCAATGAATCGATTAATTGATAAAAGCGAAAAAAAAGAAAGATTTTTTACTCACTTTTAGGAAAACGAAACAAACCCGAATCATTACAACGAACAGGCATTCGTAAATGACGTGATGTATCGGCAATATCGCATGTTACTTTGATTGTTTCCAATATCGATGTCGATGATTGACGATAATTATCATTATTCATTTTTGGTAACAAAAGTTTAATCAATGATAATATTGATATTTGAAATTCACTTTCACAATTAGTATGATTTTGTTGACAATTTGGTCGTCCACGTACAATATAAAGACCAGAATTTGTTTGATCACCAAACGATAGATCAAATACTGGATTAATAAAATTATCATCCAAATCAGCGGTTAAATTTGCCATACAATGTATAGTTATTGTTTCGTGTATTGAAAATCGGCCATATAATGATGATAATGATAATGATGATAATGATGATGGTTTAATTGTTAACATACGTGGTATCATTGATGCTTTACATGATAATGTTTTAATTGTTGTTGTTGTCGTTTGCGTTGTTGTTGTTGTTGTTATTTTGGATTCTTGTTGTTGTTGTTGTGGTAAACATTGAATAATTTCAAGAAAAATTACAATAATTATCATTAATTTTATACAATGATAATCGAATGATGATAACTTTTTCGATGACATTTTTGAAATTTTTTCTGTTTTGTTTTGTTTTGTATTAGATTTCTTCGTGTGAATGAATGATGATTTGTGAAAACAACCAGAAAAAAAACTTGGGATGTTAATTGAGCACAAATACACACACACAGAGATTGTTGATATAAGCAAAATAAAATATGGAAACGATGATGTTCAATCCATTCGATGATGATGGTTGATGGTTAATTGAGTGAGTAACCAATAGCAATTATGGTAAACACAGACAGCTAGACACACCGAGTAACCGTGTTTTTAACGACAAAATAAAAAACGAATTTAAAAAAACATCAACAAATCGATAATCTCATTGATCGTTTGGGGATGGATGATTATCTAATGAAAAACAGAAAGGGAAAAAGACAGAAATTGGAAAAAAATTGGAAAAAAAAAGTTATTTTGCAGATTTTGCTTCGATGATAATGATGACCATTAAGATCGAAATAGAATCGAACGTTTTTTTTTTATTTTGTCAATTCGAATTTGAATGATTCATTCGAAATGAATGGACAGGACTAGAAGAAGACGAAAAAAAACCCGGCATTTCAAATCTTTTGATGATTTTGATGATAATTATCAACAAAAACGAGCATAATGTTCAGGTAAGTAAATGTGAATGATGCATTCATTTATTCATTCATTCATTCAATTCAATTCAAACAATTTCATCCTACGTAAATATTTATCATCAAAAGTTGTTCTTAGTCTCTGACAGTTGAAGAATGAATGGATTGCCCATGTTTTTTCCGATGATCACTCTCTTTCGATGATTCATTCATTTATTTTCAAACCTTTTTTGGGTAGACAAAAACAAAAAAAACATCTTGTTTTTGTTGTTAAAACATAGCCAGATCAGATATCTTTCTTGCTAAATCTTTTGTAGAAAAAAAATGAGATGTTTGTTTTTGTCGGTTTTTCATACTAAACTATTCAATCAATGAATGAATGAATCACCAACAACAACTAAGGTAAATGCTTATACAACGATTTTTTTCTCGTTTCTTTTAAAAGAATTTAACGGAAACTTTTTTTCTTTTCTTTCTTTCACACATTTACAGGAAGAAGATGAAGAAACAACAACGAAAATATTGATAAAATATTCAGGGCGTAATTATCATCATCGTCGATTCTCACCTCGGATTTTCTTTTTTTTTTGGAAAACCAACCCAAAAAGACGCGATAACATCTTTTTTGTCAAATAATGATGATAATGATAATAATCAATAATGGATTCGGGGTGGTGGATTTTTGGTAAATCCGGAATGGAAAACAAAAACATTGCTTACCCGGGTATCTACGGATCGATTTGTGTCGAGCACACCTTTGATTTAATTTTTGTTTGTTTTTTGTTTTTTGTTGTTGTTTACTTTGTTTACAGATATTATAATCATCAAGTGGTGGTGGCGGTGGTGATATTCAAAAATTTTTCAATATTAATATTCATTGCGTAAAAAAGATCTTATCAAGAATCAAAATTGAATTTTTTTTTGTTCATCATCATAATCATCACATAAACAAAACAAAACAAACATAATCACCCAAACGATAAGAATCGCATATGTTCATCCACATCATCATCGATAGTGAATCAAAATGAAAAACAACAACCAAAATATTCCAATAGTTTTTTTTTGTCGAAAGTGTTAAAATGTTATTTTCCCTTGTTTTTTCCATCCACATTCAATCAGCCTAACACTGTAAATTAATGTTAATTTTTGTTTCCATCATTGTTTCTTCTTCTTCTGTCTTTTCTCTCTATTCATTCATTGTTCTAAATCATCAAAATTGAATAAAAATCTGTCAAAATTTTAATTGAAATAAATTGTTTCAAGTATTGTTCATTTGAGTATTAATCAATTCATTGTCATTTTGTAATGACCATGATTTTGATTTTATATTCAAAATAAAATTTTTTGGTTCGAGAACGTGTGAAACAAACAAACAAAAAAATGAAAAAACGTGCCGTTTGTTTTCCATTATTGAATTTCCGTTTTTCATTTATGTTTTGTTTTTAATATCACCAAAACAAAATGAATTTGGATTTGATAAATGTTCGCACCACCATCACCATCATCACCAAATTTTACAATATTTGGATTCAATTATATAATCTAATAAATCCTGTTGTTGCTGTCGCCGTTGTTGTTGTTGATCATAAAATGTAATAAAAACTGTTTTTTTTCGGGTAAAAAAACAAACAAAATATTATAACCCGATTTTTCTTCTTTTTGGTTGTTGTCCGGATTGTTGTTTCTCAAACAACCAAGCCATCAATAAATTTATTATTCGAACAAAATTCAATTTATTCGATTTCAAAATTAACATAACCATCATCATCATCAACAATATAGTACCATCACTGTCAACATAGACGCACCCTATTTTGTTCTGTTGTTGTTCTGCCTTTCCGTGTTTGTTGTTATTATTGTTCGATCGATCCGGGAAATTAAGATTTTGATTACAGTTTTGGTTGTTACATTCGAAATTATTATTACCCGGAGATAGATGGATGGATAGAAAACGATGAAAAAGACTGGCCCCAATAAATTTGAACAATAAACACCACTACGCCATTATTCCTGGAAAAAGTAAAGAATCAGAATCAGAATCGAATGAAGATGCATCATCATTGTCATCATTGTTATCGATCGGTGATGATCATCATTTTGGCCACAAAATCTCTTCTTTCTCTCCATCGGTGTGTTTTTTGTGATTAATCAATTGATTGATTGATTGGACATCAACAGACCTCCAACATTATCAACGTTTATCAACGTTTATAATCTTCATTCGTAAACGATAATGGATCCAACATATTTAGCAAGTTTAAATAATACCTATGAATTAGAATTATTAAATGATCGATGGCAAATAATATTAATTGTTTGGTATAGTTCAACAGCAATTTTATCATTAATATCAAATATTTTGGCTATATTTATATTAATAACATCTGATCGTTTTATGTCTGAAATATGGAAATATTTAGTAAATCTATCGGTTGCTGATATATTAATGGCAATGTTTTCCATACCATTTACATATACATCATTCATGTTGGGACAATGGATATTTCCAACATGGCTTTGTCCATTGATACAATCTGTACAACTTTGTTCTGTTTATGTTTCTGTTTATACATTAGCTGTTATTGGTTTTGATCGTTATTTTGCAATCATACATCCATTTAATCATCCGATAATTTATTTGAAAACACATCGTTTATTAATTATAATTATAATTTGGATTACTGGTGTAATGTTTTCATTTATACAACTGATACAAACACGTGCTGTACCATTCCGATATCGTAATCAAATATTATATGATTGTAAAGAATTATGGGGACAAAATGAAGGACAATATTATACAATATTTTTATTTATTATAACATTTGGCCTTCCAATATCCATACTAATATTTGTTTATGCATCAATCGGACTACATTTATGGCGAAACAAAATTCCTGGTAATCCTGAAATGATACGTGATTCAGCTAAATGGCAACAAAAAATTAAAATTATTAAAATGTTAATTATGATTGTTTTGATATTTGTTTTATGTTGGTTACCGATACATATACATTCATTTATTGTTTGGTTTCATCCAATACGTTTTCAAACTTATTTAGGTTATCTATTGTATGTTATATCATTTTTTATTTGTCATTGGCTTGCAATGGCACATAGTTTTCTTAATCCATTTATTTATGGTTTTATGAGTGAAAATTTTAAGGTAAGTTAGTTTTGAATGAATTTCTTTCTCCTGAAATTGAAAAATTTGAAAAAATTAATTTCATTTTTTTTTAAACAGACAAACTTTCATCGATTATTCTGTCAAACAACAACAACAACAACATCAGCGGCAATGAAATTACGTAAAAAACATAAAAAACAACAAACGAAACGAAAATGTTTATTATCATCCAACACGATAGAAAGAGGCGTACAACAACAACAACAACCATTACCGCAACTACCACCATCGCAACAAGCACGTGTTGATGGTAATAATATTGGTGGCGTTCTTGACAATGGTCGTGATAATGTTGTCATGGATGATATTGATCTGGATCATGATCATAATGATCATCATATAGCTGAATTAGATAATCCAAGTACAACAACAGCAACAACAACAAATATTATGATGATAACTGCAAATGAATCGATTATTTCATCATCAATATCATCATCATATACATGATTCATTATTATGATGATTTGAATTTTGGCGCCATCATTTTTGACCTTGTCATTTTGGAAAAAAAGCCATCTTGTCATTTCGTGTTGGATATATTGATCCACATATGGAAACTATGTTTGTTTGGTTTTCCCGTGTTTTCTTTCTGATTTTTTTTGTTTGTTAATGTTGAATTTACCAAAGTGCAAGCCATATAAACCGAACAATTATGTAAAATGTCAAATTTAATAATCCCGAAAAATGAAATAAAAAATGATTTATAATCTTTCCCTCATTCGGTTTTTCAATGTGAAATTCGGTAACCAGTTCCAGTTTGTTTTTCATTCATTCATTCATTTGATGACATTCTTAAGTTAACGGTGATGATGATGATGATAAATACATTGAAATCAACATTGACATTGACATTGACAATGAAAAAATCAAATCAACAACAAAAAATTGCAATCAAATTATTAATAATTGTTATTATTGGTGGTATTTTATTCTGTAAATTTACAGATATTTTAATATTAGCATTACAAACACAAATCTGTATAACATCTGAACCATTGAATGATTTTACAAAAAAATGGAAAGATCCACCATTGCCAATAACGATTGATGCATATTTATTTTCAATTGATAATCCAGAGGAATTTTCGAACGGTAGAGAACGTGCAAAATTACGTGAATTTGGACCATATTCTTATCGGTAATGTTGAATTGAAGTTTTTCGTTGTTTTTTGAAAATTGAAAAATCTAAAAAAATTTTGTTGTTTTTCCAGCTTAGAAATACATAAAGATATCATAGGATTTGAAAATGATGAAAAAATTGTTACATTTTTTGATGTACAAAAATTTTATTTCAAAAATCTCGAATCACCTGGCCGTTTGAATGATCGGATTAATGTTTTGAATTTTCCGGCTTATGTAAGTTGACTGATTCGATTCGATTTTGATTTTGATTGATTTGCTCATCGATTCGGTTAAAATAGGCATTGGCCAATATGGTTCGAAATATGATTGCATCGTTACCATTTTCATTCGGCTTGAATCCATTAGCATTTAGCTTCGTTAGTTTCCTATATCTTTTACATGGTGAATCAATGTTGATAAAACAAAATTTAACAGCCGGTGAATTATTAAATGGTTATCCATTTACAATATTGGATACTATTGATCGTTTAGCCGGACCATTACGTTTATTTGGTATTGAATTACCGGATACTGGTATGCCGGATAATAAATTTGGTTTTTTGTGGACAAAAAATGGTACCCGTAATGGCCCTTATCAAACATATACCGGACAAGATGGTACAGATATTTTACGTATGGTAACATTCAAAGGTCAAACATTATTACCATTTTATGATAATGATCAATGTAATGCACTGAATGGTACTGAAAGTAGTACATTTGGTTTAAATGTCCATAGTGATCAAAAATATTATGTATTTACACATGATTTATGTCGAAGTTTAGATTTAGTTTATGAAAAATCAGTATGGATAAATGGATTGTTTACATATCGTTTTGGTCCAGCACGGGATGCATTTGCACCACCAAGTAAAAAACCATTTAATCGTTGTTTTTGTACACGTATGGATAATGAAAATCTTTGTGATGGTTTATTTGATATTAGTAGATGTTTAAATGGTGCACCATTAGCATATTCATTTCCACATTTTCTTTTTGCAAATTCTGAAATTAGAAATAATGTTGAAAATATGCAACCATCAGAGAAACGTCATAAAGCTTATATCGATGTTGATCCGGTATGTTTTTTTGCGTTTTCCACTTTGCCATTTGTTTAATCCATGTTTTCCATTCCGTTTTTTTCCGCAAAATATTAGATAACCGGAACACCATTCAATGGTGCAGATAAAATCCAAATCAATGCATTACTCGAACCAATACCATATCTTAATGGATTTTCGAATGTTCGTAGTACAATTCTGCCATTATTATGGTTACAAAAAAGTGCAAAAATTGATAATAAATTAACTAATGAACTTCGTTTAGCATTATATCCAATTTATCTGATTTACTCAATAATTTACCTGTTATTTTTTGGTAGTCTTGCTCTGTTTACATTGCATATCGCCAGATGGAGCTACCAGTCTTATAAAGTTTGTATTTTTCTTTTAAAATTTTTAAAATTTTTTTTACAAAAATTTAATTTTCTCTTCATAAAAATAAAATCTAGGAACAAACAACGAATGTTATCGATCCGGATATACAAAAAAATCCACCATCAAGATCAGATTCAACCGAACCGATTATATCAGCAGCTACAGCGGCAGCAGCAGCCGCAACAACAAGTGGAATGAACATTTAAATCGATAAAACTTTTTTCAAAATTTTTTTTGTTGTTTTTTAGATTTCGGAATGAAAAAAAATGAATAAAATTGCTAACCTAACCTAACTAGAAATATCTAACCCGGAAAATTGATTGATTGTTTTGACTTTTTTTTCTTTTTTTTCTGTTCTTCTTTGACTCAAAGCTCGACTCTGATGATGATGATGATCATTGACATAATTGATTTCCGCTTGAATGCGAAAAAAATGGAGACATTTTTCTGCTGCCGATTTACATCAGATGTTTTGTCGCGATCAAACTGCAGCAAAAAAAAAACAAACAGTACTGCCACTACCACCAGTATTAGAAAATGCAGTTACCGTATTTTCCCGGATTTAGATAGACTTGTTTTGATCAAAAAATAATCAAAGCAAACATCGTTCACAAAGAACGTGCATAGATAAAATATGAACTGATTTGAGAAAAAAGAAAATCGTGACAAAACGATAATCAAAATTCAATAAAATAGATTTCGAGAAAATAAAAAAGGTAGTAGTAGCATTAGTGAAAAAAAAGAAGAACGGTAAAAAATGTCATTCGAAGAATATAGCTGCTATTCATACTACTACTACTACTATTTGATGATGATGATGTTGATGCGTATATTGTTGAGTGAGCGAAACTAGCAGTATACCGAATAGATAGAGCCAAAAGAAAATAAATCGAATGAATATTTCGTCGTCGTCTTCGTTCGTTCGTTTGTTTTGTTTTTAATTTTGTTTGTTTCGAGATCGATCGATCTGAATTGGAAATGTTTTTTTGTTCATAATTAATGTTTATATGTTTGTTTACGTCTTTTTGATTCGATTGGATCTTGTTTGTTGATTTGTTAATCATCTTTAAATCATCATCATCAACGTTGTTGTCGTCATCATCGTCGTCGTGTTTGTTGTTGAAAGGTTATCCTTTTTTTGTTTTTGTTGTTGTTGTTGTTGATGATGATTTTCAAAAAACAACAACAGCAGCCAAACCAAAAACAACAATGTAACAATCCCCTAGACCCAGACAATAATGAACAAAACAAACATCAATATCATCATCGAGAATTGCCGCCATTAAAGAATAATGCTACCTACCAAAACAAAAAAAAAACTTCAACAAGAATATTTGACTTTCAATGTGTAACCTTTTTTTTGTTTGTTCATTCGCGAATTTAAATTAACAAAACAAATTCAATTACAACTGATTAATCAATCAATCAATCACTCATCATTATCATCATCATCCATCTTGCAGAAATCTTTCATTAAGAAAAAAAAACATCTTTCTTTCACTATTTTTTTCCACAATTTCATCACAATTTATTATCATCATCAATTTGATCATTCGATTTGATTTTTTCCCAAATAAATAAATAAATAATCATTATATCGGATTTATTATCATCATCTCTTTCTTTTTCCATTATCTCTCTCTATCTCTCTCTTGGTAAGTATGTCTTTTCTCTTCTCTGTGTTTGTTTGTTTGTTGTGTAGATTGAAAAACATTGTGTTAATCTGAGTGATATGGTGAATGGTGTTTATGCGATTGAGTGTTTGTTACATGTCAAGTAAATATGAATGATGAAAAAGATAGATGTGAATAAAGAGAGTGAGAGAGAGATGGAAGGCCATTTTATATAAGTATGATGCAATGAATGTTTTCATTGAAATATTTTTTGAAATCCAGATTTTAAAATTTTTTTTTGGTTTTCTTCAGAACGCCTATCGTTTTTTTTTGTTGTTGAAAGAAAAAAAATCCTTAAAGCAGTATAGTAATTATGTAATTATCGTTATGAGATTTTTTATTTTCTTTTGACAAATCAATTTCGATTGATTTTTTTACAAATATATTAATCATGTGCAAGAAAATCCCGATGATCGATTCAATTTTTGTACATCCATATCGATTTTTAATGGATTTTTTTGATATAGTTTTTGTGATATGGATTTCTATTTTTTACTTTCATTGTGTGTTGATTGATTGAATGGATGTACATTTTTTTTGATGTTTTTGTTGTCAGAAAAATGTTATTTTGGTCGTATAAAATTTCAAAAATTTGTTTGTTTTTTTTTGTTTGTGAAGATAATAATTGTGTTGTTTGTCCCTTTCTTGTGTTAATAGGTGCAATCGAGATTCAATTTTGAAAATAGACGATTTGTAACTTATTGAAGAATTTCTTTGAAAATTGAAAAAACAAATTACGAAATGAGTAATGAAACATTATTATTGAATGATGATAAAAATTTGATAAAAAATCAAGAAGAATCAATAGATAAAATGAAGATTGAACAACAAGAAGATAATAATGATTGTATTGTGGATACAAATGATGGATGTTTACAGGAAAAATCATCCACAAAGATAATAATCAATGAAAACAATAATAGTAATGGTGATGTTTCCACAATGATAAAACCACAATCCATATCGAATGATTGTGAATCAATAAATGATCAAAATTTGGATACAACAACGACAATTAGTGATACCCAGAGTGAATCATCAACAACAACAACAACAAATTCTGATGATAATAATGTAAATAATGATGATGATAATGATGATCATCATCAACAAATGGCCGGAATATTAAATATTATAAGCAATAATGATAATCAAATGAATGATGAAACTATAATGGCAAATATTGATGGTCTTAATCGTGATAAACAAGGTCAACAGCAACAACAATTGTCAACAACACACAATATGACATTAACTGCCAATCATAAACAGCAACAGGTACCACCATTTCCATTATTAGCCGGTGAATCATTATTACATCATGAAACAACCAATGAATATCAGATTTTTTTAACAAATTATCGATTTTTTGTAAAAAATATTCCACATAAACATCGATCAACGATAATATCGCAAGTACCACCAGCATCATCAATGATTACAATGAATGGTGGTACATCAGCTGTTAGCTATCAAAATGGTTTAAATGGTCATGTTACAATAATGAATAATAATAACAGTAATAATAAACATTGTAATCATAATCAATTGAATCATCTACAGCAACCTCAACAAAATGATCGTAATAATTATAATCATCAACAACATAATCATCATCATCATCAGAATAATGAAAATCAACCAAAACAATTTTTCATTCCAATCAATAATATTGATTGGATTGAAATACGTGAAATTTATTTTCTAACCATTTATACCAAATATATTGAATCATTTGTATTAACATTTGATAATCAAGAATCGGTACAACAATGGCATAAACGTTTATGTGATATACAACAGATTGATATTAAACATTTATTTTGTTTTCAATTTTATCGTGAATTGTTTGCAACGACGATGGCCAATAACAACAACAATACCACTATTGTAAATAATAATCAACAACAACAAATCGATAATAAATTTATTGATCTATTTTTAAACAATCAAAATGTGATCGAAAAAATGTATCGCCAATCAGATCGATTAATTCGTCAAGAATTTCAACGAATGAAATTTGATCAACAATCATGGCGTATTTGTGATCTGAATAAAGATTTTAAATTTAGTTATAGTTATCCTGAATATTTTATTGTACCAAATGATATAACGGATAATGATTTAGAATATGTTGCCAATTTTCGTTATTCAAGACGTATACCTGTTGTTGTTTGGCGTAATAATCATAATGGTTGTGTTATAATGAGATCATCACAACCTGTTGTTGGTTGGTTTGGTTGTCGTTGTAATCAAGATGAACGTATGTTACAAACGGTATTGAAAATATGTCAACATGATACAATACAATATAGATTTATTATGGATAATAATAATTTGGTTATGACAAAAATTAATGGTGATATTATTGTAAATAATGGAACATTAAAACTAAATAATGGTACAATTGGTAATGGATTGGATCATCAAATAATCAATAAAACTGCAATGAATGGTGGTAATCTTAATGGTAATAAAACCATGGCTAACGGTAATGGTCAAGCAAAACTTTTAAATAACAACATTCAAAATCATTCCGATGTTAATAATAAAGATCAAGATCATTCTTCAAATGATTCTTCCAATGATGATGATGATGATGATGATGATAATTCTTCAAATGATGATAATGATCAATCGAATAATAATAATAATAAATTATTAATTTTGGATGCAAGATCATATACGGCTGCATTTGCTAATCGTGCAATGGGTGGTGGTTGTGAATGTCCAGAATATTATACAAATTGTGATGTACAATTTATGGGCCTAAATAATATACATAGTATACGTAAAAGTTTTTATAGTTTAAGATATATTTGTGAATCATCACAGATTGATCAATCAAAGTGAGTATTTTTTTAAAAAAATAAAATTGTTTTTGCTTTAATTTTATTTTGTTTTGTTTTAGTTGGTATACAATGTTGGACAATACAAAATGGCTTCATAATTTGGCTAGTCTTTTGAAAGCTGCTGTTGTTGTTGTTGATGCAATCACTATACAGGAACGTCCTGTATTAGTACATTGTTCAGATGGTTGGGATCGTACACCACAAGTAATTGCATTAGCTGAATTAATGTTAGATCCATTTTATCGTACGATTGATGGTTTTAAAATTTTGGTCGAAAAAGAATGGCTACAATATGGACATAAATTTGCTGATCGTTGTCGTAGTAGTACATTAAATATTGATCCAAATGAACGATGTCCAGTGTTTTTACAATGGGTCGATTGTGTACATCAATTAGTTAAACAATTTCCACGGGAATTTGAATTTAATGTTTGCTATCTGGTAAATATACAAAATTGATGAAAAAAAAGTATTTTATTCTCATTTTGGTTACTTTTCACTTTTTTCACATGAAAAAGATGAAACTTGTCTATCATTCCTATTCATGTTTGTTTGGTACGTTTACCTGTAATAATGTTCAAGAACGAAATTCATTACAAGTTTATGATAAAACAATTTCATTATGGTCATATTTCGAAATGAATCGAGCAAATTTTATTAATTATCTTTATTTACCAACAATTGAGGTAATTGTTTGTTTGTTTTTTTTTGAAAATGTTTGAAAAAACCTAAATTTTGAATTTTTTTACTTTTTTTCAGGTACTTCGACCATCATGTCGTGTAAAGGATATAATTTTTTGGAATGAAATATATGTACCTGTTTCGAATAATGGTACCGATGTAACCAATATGGCAATTTCATCATGTAATGGTATCTGTAATAGTACAGCTTCAAATGCTACTGCTATTGTTTCAACTTCGAATCGATCAACTTCTGATCAACAACAATATGATTGTGATCATGAAACTAAATGTCAATCACAATCAAAATGTGATCTTAATCGTTCAGCATCATATGAAAGTTTGGCCAATTCAGATTTGAAACAGCCAGCCCCACCACCATCACAACCATCAACAATATCTGATAATTGCAATAATCTACCATCATTAAAACAATTTGATCAATATTTTAATCGAATATCAACAACGACAATACCACCAATATTGTCATCATCATCAATAATGACCAGGCATTTAAGTGATACATGTCTATTTAAACGATCCAATCAAATTATGAATAATAATGTGATGATGGCAACACCTTATATGACAAATGGATTTATGATTGGTGATAATCATATCAATCATGATATGGAAGAAATGGTGAAGCAACGACAATCACCTATGATGAATGATATGTCCAACAACAATATTGGTCAACATGATATTGAAGATTGTCATCTTATAACTAATATATCGAATCATTTTAATCATTCATCTACTACTATGACATTATCATCTAATAAACCTATATACACTAATTGTAATGGATTATCATCACCATCATCAAAAATGATGAATAATTCTTCAACAAGTATTGATAGTTTGTCCACTATATTCGATATTGATGGTCAAATTATTGGCCATAATAATAATAGTCGATTACAGTTACATCAATTGATCAATTATCATAAGGTATGTATTGTGGATGATTTCTTTAGTTTGTAAACAAGTTTTTTTAAATTAAATTTTTCTTCTTTTTTCATTTTAGAATATGATCAAACGGCTAACAAATCAATTGAATTTTAAAAAATAAACTGAAAAAAAATCCAAATAGAACAACATTCCAGATGTGGACAACAGTGGATAAATAATCTGAATACTGGAATGACATTGCGACGACCAAAATTCATCAACAAACAAATCCAAATCATCCTCTTACCATAACAAAAAAAAAACAATAACAAATGCCTAGTCTTGAAAATGTTTCAAACAATAACAACAAAAATCCCATCATCATCATCCTCATCATATTTGAAAAAACAAAAATTCTTTTAGTTTTTTTTTGTAACGAAGAATATTCAAAGATTTCAAACACCCATACATACATTACATTACATTACATTAATTGTAAAAGTTAATTATTTATTAAAAATATATATGATTTATGTTTTAGCCATCATTATTATTATTTTGTCCGAATTTTTTTTTTGCAAATTCCCAATCTAAATCGATAGATTTTTTCCCCTTTATTACCTGAAAAGATTTTTCACATCCACACACATTCTTTCGTCTTGTTTTTTGTTCTTACCATTTTTAATTCCAATTTTTTTTTCATTTGTTAATTATACAAAATAAGAAAGAATATTTATCTATATTTTCAAAACTTGATTAATCAATTTTTTTGTGTTTGTTTTTTTTGAAAATTGTATTCATAATTACCTGTTCTTTTTTTTCCTTCATTCATTGTTGTCGTGGTAATCTGATAAAACAAAGAAAATTTAATTAAAAAATGTGATGTTTTTAAAAACGAAAAAAATTTACAATTTTTTTACAATTTACAAAATTCGAATCCCGAAAAAAAACAGCCGAATTCATACACATTATCTATGAATGGCTCCCAGAAAAAAAAAATCCTATCCCAAAATATATTGGATCCAACCGTGTGTGTGTGTTTGGTGAGTTGTTTCACTCAATATTCATTTATTGTGTGATGTCTGTGTGTATGTCGGATAAAACAATCCCCAAAACTAAACTATATTCACACCTCCCAAAAAATTTTCACCAACACATCACACAACATAACCGAAATAAAAAGAATCAAAATGATAATCCATTTGAGCATCTAAATTTATTGGTTTTTTTGAAAAAGAACAAAGTTTAAAGTTTGAAAATCAACGTGATGTGAACCTGCCACCACCGCCTCTCAAAAAAACAAAAAACCAAAACATTTTTTCTTTAAAGTTTTCTTTAAAAAATTTAGAAAATTTTTTAATTTCGTTTGGTTCATTCACTCATCACTCATTCTCATCATTTTTTCTCAAACATTTTTCACAATTCAATCAACGGAATTCAGCAAAAACAACCACAGAAAATCATCGATAATCCAGCAAAAACCAACAAAACACATTTCAATTATTGCTTAATCCTTTCATTCACTTTCTTTCATCATCTTAATCATCATCATCATCAATAGCACTATCAAAATTCATCCAAAACATTTTTTGTTCATGTCGATGTACAACAAAAACCACCACCACCATTATCATCAAAAGTAGCATCATCATTCGAATGGTATCGTATCGTTCTTTTCAATTCAAACAAATTTTGTTTTTCAGACGACCACATTTTCCTTTGCTAAATGATGATGATGATGATCATCATTTCATACACACACAAACATCCCCATTAACAACAACAACAACATAGTTGTTTGTCGTCGACAAAAAAAGACATCCCACACAACACCACCACCATAGACATAACTTGATGATGATGATGATCAAACTAAAAATGTGATTTTTGCCCTCTCTCTTTCGGTGTGTGTGTGCTTTTTCTCTGTGTGTATATGGTGTAAATTTGAGCAATTTTCTCTGTATGAGAGTGTGATGTGTATATGTTGAGTATTTTTTCAATTCAATTCAATTTGAGTTTCAAAGTTGAATTTTTTTTTTGTGTCCAGTGTTTTGATTGAATTTTGAAACCAAGAAACAAAAAAATTTCCTGAAAATCAATTCTGTGATTATTCAGGGATGTTTTGAATGTGTTTGAATGCGAGGGAAAGGATTAATATTGATGATAATTTTTGCTTCTTTTTTGTAACCGAATTTAATAATCAATAATCCACTCAATTCGGTCGAAATAGTTTATCCGAATGAAAAGGTTTTTGTGATTTTGTTCTGCTCTGCTCACTTTTGTTGTAAAAAAGAAAAGGTAATTTTAAAAAAGTTAGAATTGAAAATCATTTTTCAACGTGGTTTTTCGTTTATCTCTCTTTTGTCGATATATTACCCTTGTATAACAAAAGAAAAAAACATGTACACATCGTACGGACACACAAACACACACGAATTCTACATTTACCCGATTGAATTCCGGTTATTTTATTACGGAAATTAATCTTTTTTTTTGTTGTTGCCTGTTTTTTAATGAAAAACATTTAATAATTTTCTCTCTTTTTTCCCCTAGTTCCAGGAAATAATCAGAAGGAATCCAGAATTTTAATGATATTGAAACGAGGTTAAACGAATCATCGAACGCTGAAAGAAGAAGAAAAACCGATTAAAGTTTTCTGTGTTTAGTGTGTTGTTTGTGCACGGCGGTATTCTGGGTGAAACAGAATATCGATTATGATCGATATTTTTAATACAATCGAACGGGTACAATTATGGAATCAACAAAAACAGCATCCGTAATTGTATCATCCAATAATAACAAATCAACGATTAAATCATCAACTAATCAACAACAAAAACAACATCTTAATGATTCAACAATAACAACATTATTAAGTGATAAAATTCGTTCAACAATGAATGGACATTTCCATCATACAAATCATTCGAATCATCATCATCATCATGGTACCGTTGTTGTTACCGGTCAAACATCATCATCATCATCAACGAATACAAATTTGGCATATACAACCAATACCAATACAACCAATAACACTATGAATCGATTAAATTTTCATCATCAAAATTTATCAACAACAACATCACAACAACAATCATCAACAACAACAACATCACAACAACAACAACAATCATCATCACCATATATGAATCATGAAGCATTTGCTGCACAAGTTCGTACAATAATGAAAGCAGCTGGATTAATTTCGGATAAGGTAAAATTTTCGATTGGTTTTTTTTGTATTGGTAAATTAATCAATTTTTGTATTTTCTTTTTAGTTAACATCACATAAAATGACATTAATGGCTGAATTGTTTGCATCGGAAGATGAAGATGGCGATGAAGTCGATATCGATGATGATGAGGAAGAAGAAGACGATGAAGATGAAGAAATTTATGATGACGATGATGATGATGATTATGTTGTTGAACCTATTGATATTGAAGATGAAGATGATGATGATGTTGATGAAGAATTAGAAGATGGTGAAATGATTGAGAATAATCATCAACATCATGATGATGATCTAATTGATGAACAGATTATTATTATGAATAATAATGATGATGGTAATCAATCGAAACAACAAAAATCGCAATGGAAAAAAGGCCAGCAATTTCATCAAACATCTCAACAGCGACAACAGTGTATAGATAATAAATCAGCGACAATAACAACAAATTGTCAAATTAGTGATGATCATAATCATTTAGTGATCGATAATAATACGGCAAACGATGCTGATGATGAAGATGAAGAAGAAAATTCTGAAGTATGTACTATTTTAACCCTCAATGTTTTTTTCGATATTTTAATAGTTTTTGTCTATTTTGACCTAATGTTTATTTTAATTTTGAAAAAACAAAATTTTAAACCAAAAATATGAGAGAGAAACAAAAAATTTGAAATTGAGAGAAACGGAAAAGAAATTTCCGGTCAGTTCCGGGCTGATTGCCTGGATTGATTGATATATTTTCCTCTAAATAATTTTTTTGTTTTGTTTAGTTTAGTTTTGTTTCATTTTCATTTTCAAATACACAAAAGTGTACATTTACAGTTGAAATCTAGTTTTTTTTTCAATTTCAGTCAGGTGTGTGTTTGTGTTTTATTTGATCGACTTTTGTTGTTGTTCCAGTTGTTTCAAAAAACAAAATTACAAGACAAACAAAGTCTTGTTTGTCTTGTATCAGCACCACCATTCATGATGATAATAGATGTGGTCAAAGTAATTTTTTTTTTTTTTTTTTTTTTTCGATAGATTCGATTCATCACACCATCATTATCGATATGGTGGTGAGAGAAAAAAGGG